TCAGTGATGTCAACATGGTAAATTGTACCAATGTCAAAGATAATTAGAAAACAACTTTTCTTTTCCACAGCCTTTTATCTTCTATTTTACTTGTCTGACATTTATTTTCTCCTTTCCTGCCGCCTCCCTCCCTGGATGCACCACCGTGACTCAGTATTTGCTGGTATATCTTACCCATCTCTGTATGTGCAATGACTCCCTATCTTTTTTGTAACCAGCATTGGTCCAGATATTGCTTTCACAGGCAGTTTGAGGAAGATTTGGTCTTATCTCTATTTTTGTATTTATATATTAGGCTTCAAAAAATATACTCTTTCGCCCTTTCTTCCCCCCGTCTTTTCAATGACAGTCAAGTTTCACCTTTTTGACAGCACCTGCGCATAAACTCTGTTGGACGTGATACGATCCCAGTCGTTTGACGGACTGGCACGTTCAGCCTTCCTACAAGTGAAGCACCTTTGTTTGACACAGTTTCAGCGCGATCTGCCTGCCCCCAGACCCCCTCTTCTCCAAACTGTCTTTTGTGTTGCGGCCAGGGAGCAAGGGGAGATATTAAAATGCAACTCTGGTCATGCCGGTCACCTGTGTGTGTGTCAGTGGCCCCAGGCGACAGAAAGAATACACTTCCAGCTGCCATTCACGGCTCTCACTCTGCCCCAAGCTCGTCTCCTCCTGTTCTCTCTCCCATGCTCGTCTCTGTCCCAGCCGTAACACGTTTCCTCTTTCTAAGGCCTCACGGCTCTTACCTCTTCCTGGAATGCCCTTTACCGATTATTCTAGAAAGTACTGCTGCAGTCCAGTTCAGTGCCTGGCACTATGTTAAAGGTAGTGCACGAGCGTGGTGAGAACCATCAGCCCGGTTCCTCCCCTCACAGAGCTACGGGCTCCTGGGGAAGACAGTGAAAGACTCAGTTACAACAGGGTAAGTAGAGGTGGCTGTGGGAGCACAGAGGAGTCTCCAGCTTTGACTTTGATATCCAGGGACTGCTTTCCAGGGAAAGTGATGACCAGAGTGAGACCCAAAGGACAAGCAGGGAGCGAACTTGGCCTTCTTTCCCTTATCACCTGGTGGCTTCCCATTCCCCCTCCAAGTCTGTCCAGGCAGCGGAGGTTACCTCCTGCTCTGAGTGCTAGCTCAGTAGGTTGTACATTATGGTCTTCTTAGGCATGGATTGCATTTATTTGCCTCTCTGTCCTGTCTTAGACTATGAGCCTCTTGAACACAGAGTCCACTTATTTTTTATATCCTTGTGCGATGTGTTTGGTGCATAGCAAGTGCCTGCTTAAATTTCAGTGGAATTTGGTTCCCAGACCCTGCTCTCCTGCACAACACCTTTTCTGGTCTTGGCCTCGCTCCATGCTTTCCCAACCTCCTTCTCCGGCCAAGCCTTCTTCAGTTGCTCTGCTCCCAGAATCCTCTTCTGATTCTTCTATCACTCGGTCCCTACACCCTTGTCAGCACTCAGATGGCCTCGGCTCCTGTGTGCTTTCATCTTTTCAGGGACTACCAGGACAACCCCTTTCATTCTGCAAAACAGAATGACAGACAAATAGCACCTGCTAAGATGTGTCTATTGAAGGTGATAAGTGCTCTGAATAGCATATCTCCTCCAAAATGTGTGCCTGGGACAGGTGGGTTTTCTTACGGTGGAATAAAATTTTTACTAAGAAAATGAGAGCTGTACATCCCAGTTGGCTTTCTTATTTACACTGGCTTCCAGGAGGAAATTTGGATTTAAGTTCAAGTTGGCAACTCCCTTTACATATGTTTCTGGTAGAATTATCTCCTTCCTTCACCTGGATGTGTTCTAACTATTCCTCTGAATTAAAAAAGCTCACTTAACTTGAAGTGTTCATTAAATGTCAGGAAACATGTAATTACATTAGAAGAAAAATTTAGCGTATAACTATATTTTCATATGGGATTATACTGTACCTCCTTTTCCCTCAAATTTAAATTATGGTTCTATTGCAAGTTATCAAAATCCTTATTTCAAGAAGTATGTTAACATCTTCAGTTTTTCCTTTCTTCCTCTCCTTTGCTTATTTTTCTTTCTCATAAAGGAGGCTGAATTGGTTGAAACATGCCATTTAGTTTGAGCTGTACTAGAGATGGTTCACTCAAACCAAAAGAAAGGAAGGGGTGGGAGGAAAGAGGAGGCCATGGTTGGGGAAGGGAGGGGACTTACTTCCTGAACACTGATGGTTCTAGCCACCCCATCCACAGTATTCTCAAGTAATGAGATTTCAATTTTATTAACGAGGTAAGAAGCTCACAGTGGTTAAATGACTTGCCCAAGATTTTATTTCTTTGTTTGGAGAAGTCCAACAAATTCAGTTTATGATCTCATTTCATTGTCATTTCCTAAAATCTCCTGTCCCTCCTCTCTTCCTGATTTTAGTGAAAAACAGCTCTGTTATCTGCTTACTCATTCCAGAAACTCAGGAGCCATGTGCATTCTCAAACTATCACTTGAGAGGCTGCTAATCCTGCCTCTTTAATACCTTTCCTCTCCTTCTCTTTCCCATTGCTTGTACCAGAGTGTGGGCTCTGTGGTTCTGGCTTGGGACCATTTCCATCACCTAATATCTTCGCTTTCAGCTTCTCCCACTCCAGTCTTTCCCCCACGTGGGTGTTTTGTCGTTGTGATATTTCCAAGTGGCAAATCTGACAACATCCCTCATCTGAGTGCATTCTCTTGCCCTCACGTAAAAGTCCCTTGCCAGCTATGTCAGGATTTTCAGCATCTGTGCCCTGCCTCCTCTGCAGTCCTCTCTCCCTTATGCATCCTACAGACCAGCCACATCGAGTGACTTACAGGTCTGTGAAGAGTCAGTCACGGGTCTTCATGCGTCCATGCCCTCTACACTTTGCTCTGCCTGGAGGGTTCATCTCTTAGCTGGTGAACATATGCTGTCTTTTGAGACCCAACTCAAAGTTCTAGTCCTTTCCTGTTTTCCTTTATCCCATTATCAAACATGTTGAGCGCGACCCATTTCTAGTTCTCTACCCTGTACATATTTATATACTGTTTACCACTCTGTGCTGCAATTATTTGGTTTTATGTTTCACTAACTTATTTGATTATAACTTTCCTGATTTCATAGATCTTGTTCATCATTTTGCACAGTTTAGATTTACATATTTTTTTCTTGTTGCATTCCTAGTGTTTAGCGGTGAGCATGTTTTTGATTATGGTGTGGGTATTTTATTTCCTTCAAGTTAAAGGTTTATGTTAATTGCAAAATATTGCATAACAACAACAAAATAGAGGAAAGGTATGTATGTCATTGGGACACCTGCTGAGTTCATTGTAAGAGCAGGGGGCAGGACATGCCTTATTTGAGAATTGGAAGATGGTTTAGGATGGATGTGCAAATAGACTCAAGAAACATTCAACCTGGCACTTTTTCCTTTGTAATGACTGGTAGGTTTTCTTACCCTTATAAGTAGTTGAGTTTGAGGGGGCCAATTAATTACCTTTCCCCCTATAGGTTCTGAATAAAAAACCAGACAGGATTAAAATATCAGCAGATTCAAATGCAATGCTCAGTTTTGTTTCAGGTAAAGCCAAACTGGAGAACGCAGCATAGATCTGGTGACAAAATCGACTTCCTACGTCACTGCTCCCCTGGCTCTCCGGATTGGTCCCGGCTGGGAAACCAGAGGCAGCAGGAGCTGAGCTGGAGGGTAAGGCCCGCTATCTGGGAAGCCTTGGCAGCTGAGACACACGAGATGAGCTGTCCAAATCTGGATAGCAAGCCAGCACCACACTGCTGCAAAATGAAGGAGTGATGTCACACTCTCCAGATGTCACCCGTCCATAGAGGGAGGGTCCAGGGAGAGGGAGGAGAAGGCTGTCTTCATCGTCTGGAAAGGGTTAGTTTCTGTTTAATGCACCAAAGCACGAGTCCCAAAAGAGAGAGTGGCTGGTTCTTCCCAGTGAGTGTTATAGGACAGATCAGTCTCTTAAACCCAGAGTCCCAGGACCTCAGATACTTTGACCCAAAGAATTTCCCTTTCAAGAACAGATCTGGAACTCTGAAGTAAAGAACAGTATGATTCTGTCTACTCTCTTTTACCTAACATTTGTCATTTTATCATGATGATGGCTAGATCAAGAAGTGCTCCCAACAAGAAGAACATATGGGTTAATGTCATTAAATCTTAATGATAAAGGACGCATTGACTCGACAGTCAGGTGTGAGTGCTCTGATGGGAAGCATAATCGCCTGTGAATTACTATGGATTATAAAGGATTTTTTTTTTCCTGCAATTTATGGAGGGCTCTGGACCATGTCATCTTAACTCAAAAGTCAATCGGTAACTGCACATCTTGATGATGGTCCAGAGCAGTGACCTGAAGGCATCAAGCACTTCTGCGACGAGTCCAGAGTAGCTTGTGCTGCATTTGCATGCCTGGACCTTTCTGACTTCCCTCGCAGCCTTCCGAGTTTATGATCCAGATACGCCTCCGGTGGAACTGACCTCAGAAGAATCCTTTGCTGGGCTCTGACCCGTATCTTATTAATTCGTAGTTAGATTTATTTTGTTTTTGACTGAATTTATTTCTGCTCCACGGGCCTGCATTCTTTTCCGTGGCTAAATGTGCTCTCTCAAAGTATAATGTATTTAATTTGGTCAGTTCTGTACATCATATAATGGCAAGGGAGAAGAAAAGAAAAGGGGAACATCCGAGTCGGGAGGCAACGGTGCAAAATAAATAGTCATATTTTCACGTAGTGGGTCTGATTTTCTCCGTGAGTTGAGATGGTCTTCTTAGAAGTAACATGCTTTACTGATGCTCAGAGTCTCTGGTGACCTACAGCAGTGGCTGAGTCCCCTAAGCCAGGGCTTTTGAAAAGCTCCTGTGCACGCCAATCCCCTGATTCTGCAGGGCTGGGGCGGGGCCAAAGACGTTTCTGACAAGCTCACTAGTGATGCTAAGGACCGAGCAACAAGCACCTAAGTCGCCAAATCAAAACACCAGCTCTCCAACTCATCACAATTCATTTTATTCCACAGCATGTATAAGGGAATGTTATTCTCAGGAAGATGTTTAGGATTAAAATAATTAAAAAAAAACCTTGAAAGTACACACATTTATGTATCTCTTCTTTTCATTAAATATATATCTGTTTGGCAAAAAAATGTTAGACTCTTTTGTACAAAAACAAAGCAAAAAAAAAAACAAACCAAAAAACAAAAAAACAACCAACCCCCAAACCCTTGCAAATTGTCAATACTTGTAATAATTACAATGATGTAAACTTGGATGTCTGACAGCTTGACCATCCTGCGGGGCCTGTGTTGTAGCAGAACCCCCAGGAGAAGGTAACACCAAACCCGTCGAGAGGGGCCGCCTGCCACAGAGGCGTTTCGGTTTAGTATATTAGAGATGGGGATGACGACTGATTTCACCATTTGTGCTTTTACCTAAGGGGCTGGAAGGGTGTGAGGCGTGAAGAAGGCAGGTGTGGGCTGGGGCAGAGAGAGGACACCCAAGACTAGCTGGCGAGGAAAGAAGGTTGGGCACGCTCACAGTGCAGACGTGAAATGGCATTGGACCTGGGACTGGGTCCGGAGACCCGGTGCGGTCCACGGCTAGAACGAGGTTTCTGCTGCTGCCCTTGGAACCAGAGAGGACCAGCACAAGGCAAAGGCCTGCACGGAGGACGGAAAAGACCTGAAAGCAGATTTCGAGTCACAGGGAACTGGTGGTGTGAGCGGACTCTGGAGAGAAGGGGAATGAGGAGGCGGTGTTTGGTCTTCTCCAGCAGCTAGGCTGTTTCTTCCAGACACAAGCACTGGGGCAGTCCCTTCGGTCTGACGGGCAGGTTTTGGGGCAGTCTGGTGCTGCCGGCTTGCACCCTCCAGGGAGGGAGGACGGGCCTGCTGGGGAGGGGGGTGAGGATGGAAGGGCCCTTTGGCTCTCTTATTGGCGGTGGGTTTTGCTCTGCTCCCATCGGTAGACTGCAGCAGTGGGAAGTGACCTAAAGCAATGGAGTCTAGAAACAGAATCAGGGCAGTGAGCAAGACGCCAGGTAGGGGTAGAAGAATGCTGGGGCTAGAGGCGAGGCCAAAGACAGTGTTGACCCACAGCTTCTCTGCACCGCGAGAGGGTTCCGAGGCGTGGGTGTGTTTTAATTCTTCTCTCCCGCAAGCTAGATTTTCCAGTTTTGGAGGGGGCGCTTCTGGGCCCGGCCACTTCAGTTACAGTCATAGACGAAGTCATAGTTGCTGGGCTCCTTGGGGATGGGGGGAGGTGCGTCAGGGATCTGAATGTTTTCCAGGTCGAGGAGGCGGAGCTTGATTTCCATGCTGAGCAGGGTGTCCAAGTCATTCCGGGTCAGCTCACTCATCATGTCTTTCCCCAGCAGTGCATTCAGCCCGTCCGTCCAGATACAGTACTGGTGGAAAAGGAGGTGACAAGGGTAATTACTGATGACAATGACAAGAGTAGTGACAGTGGTTAACAATGACCACGCAACGTGTGCTGGGCTCTGTGCTAAGTGCTCTGCCTACATCACCATTTAATAAAGTTGACACTGCTGGGATCATCTCTGTTCTGCAGATGAGAGAACCGAGGCGCTGAGAGGCCGAGGAACTTGGTAGCGTGTGGAGTGGGTGGGACTGGAACTCAGGCAATCTAACTCTAGTGCACCTGCACTCTTCTGTGCAAATAATGCCTTCTTATGTAACAGTAGGAGGATCTGAGTTCTGCATGACCTTGCAACGTCATACCTTCAACATCCTACCAGTGAGTCTGCTTTTAAGCTATTGGTAGTATATATCCCAACATGCCCGGACTCAGCATTAGGTCGAGGCTGCTTCTTCCCTGACTCCAAGCACGGTTCCTAGTCTAGTGGCTAATCTCTGCCTCTCCTCTCTGATTCCTAACACTCACAACGTTAGCCCACTCTTACCCGGGAGCCAATCATAGTCCCACCTTGGCATTTCTCAGCAAAGGGCTAGAAAATAACGTTCTGCTGCCCAGTGTCTGGTGGACAAAATGGCTACAACTGTTGGCTGATCTTCATGGGAGGTGGGCTGGCTGCCTGTCTCTTCTTGAGTCTCTAGTTTCCAGGTTTTTTCTCCTTCGGGTCTGGGAAGCCTGGTTCCTGGGGACATAGCCGATCTTGGAAAGCCTTCCAGAGCAGCCAACTAAGAATTTGGTTCTTCCTTTCTCATTAAAATTGACCATGCCTTTTGTTTCTCCAGTGGACTGTGAACTCCTTGAAGAAAGAAACTCTACCTTGTTTATCTGAGGACCTGATTTGCTCTTGTCATCCTCCCTCCCAGAGGCTGTAGCCCTGGGGCTTGTATTAGAGCCAAGCTACCTGGTGGCTGAACTAGCTTCTGATGTCAGCATCTGAGAAAACCGTCTGCATTCTGGAAGCTGTGCTCCGCTCGCCTTTTAGTATATCCTAGTCCTCTGTAGGACCTCTGTGATAGCAATTGCTCTGTTCTTACTGTCAGACTAGTCTTCCTTCTCGAATGGGCTCTAGATTACCCCCTCTTCTGCCCTCACTGGGTCAAGTTACAATTCCAGACCCTATACTTAGCCTGTCCTTTGCACTGTGCTTACCTGGAATATAACAGCAGATCTCAACATAAAATGTACTATAGGACTACAAGCACTTTACAAATCTTAAGCCACAGTGATCTGGAAATCTCACCCTGATGCACATCTCAGGCACCCCTTTTTAAGCTGAGGAGATGCACCATAGGTGTATTATGAGGGTGTATGTCTGGGTAGTGCAGCCCTGAACTATAGAACTTTGCCTTGGCTGTGTGATCTCTGCCAAAGTGTCTGACCCATCTAAACACCAGCTGCGTGCTAAGAGATATCTGGAAGTATTCATGTCCTCATGAATCCCTCAGACAGATTCTGAACTCATTGAAACATTCCTTTCCACATAAATAACCTTCATAAAAATAGATACAAAGGTCCTACCCTGGAGATCCTGATCTTGTAGATCTTGGGTGAGTAAATTTTACTTAGAAAAGCTTCCAGTTAATTCTGATATACTTCCAGATATGGGGGCCACTGAACTCCATGTGCTCTGAGGCCCCTTCCAGCTCTAACACTGTTTGACTGTAAATCCCTAAGCCCTGGGCTTACTGCTTCTTGTACAACCATCCCGGTCCTGGCCAGCTTCCTAGTACGGATTAATCTGACCCACAGGAACACTTCTGTGGTGCCTTTCTTTTGAGAAGCAGCAGGTACAGAAAATTTTATTAAAGAGTGCATCAACCAATAAATAAAAACTCAGTAGGACTGAATCTGAGTGGAAAGTATCAAAATGAACTTACAGTGTATTTTATCTTTAAAGAAATAATGTAACTCCCAGTCTGCCCATAAAAAGGCCTAAAAATAATGACCAACCAAGTAATAGCAAGCACACCTAATGCCCAGATTCTGGTTGCTAAATACCATTTTCTACCAAAAGGGACCATGGCGCCACAGAGAAAAGGCAGGAAACATGCAAGATGAGCCAGACATATTTTGTCATAGCAGAATGACTGAAGGTTGTCAAAGACATCTGGGGTCATGTCAATAGGACTCAGAAACCAACCAGAAGGTGTTCCTACTTTCTCTAGATAGGATTAATATGGACACTGATAATGACAATCGCTGCAACCCATTAAAACACAAATATGTTTAAATCCATTACTTCATAATGATACTCCAACACCAAAACCACCTCGTTGTTCTCATTTGGAAGATGCACATTATTTGGAAGACTGACAAGAAAAGTAAGTATTTAGCCTGCTTGTTACATATAAACTGTGTAACCTCAAATATGAGGCCCGTTTCCCGCTAATAAATGAAGAAGGAATGACTGAATTGAGATACCAACCTTTCCAATGTCTAACAGGTCCAAGAATCCTGGCAAAAATCATCAGTGGCTGCTAACATCCCCCAGAGAGACAACCAGACACCACGGAAGAATGCAACACCACTGTTGCTTAAAGTTGAGCCTCAATTAGATGAATCCTCTAACTGCCATGTAATACGAAATACGGGAGACAGATAACCATGTGAAATAACAGCACATGTTATGGTAGGCAGAAGAATACCCTCCTTTTAAGGGAGATCACGTCCTGGAGCCTGTGAGTATGTTAGGGTGCACGGCAAAGGGAATTAAAATTGCTAATCAGCTGACCAGCAAATAGGAAGGTCCTCTGGGATTGTCCAGGTGGGGGTAATGTAATCACCAGGGTCCTTAAAAGTGGAAGAGGGAAACAGGATAGGAGTGAGCGAGAGAAGGGAGAAAGAAGGCGAGTTTTTTTTTTTTTTTAAAGGTTTTATTTATTTGACAGAGAGAAACACAGCTAGAGAGGGAACACAAGCAGGGGGAGTGGGAGAGGGAGAAGCAGGCTCCCCACGGAGCAGGGAGCCTGATGTGGGGCTCGATCCCAGGACCCTGGGACCAGGACCTGAGCCGAAGGCAGATGCTTAACGACTGAGCCACCCAGGCGCCCCGAAAGAAGGCGAGTTTTGACTACGGAGGAGGAGGTCAGAATGAGGCAGTGTGGAGACTCAACCACCCCGGTTGTGGGTGAATGGAGGCTGTGGCCAAGGGATGCCGGTGGCCTCCAGAAGTGCAAAGGGGGAGGAAACAGATTTTCCCCTAGAACCTCCAGAAAGGAATTCAGCCCTGCCAGTACTTTGATTTTAGCCCAGAAAAGACCTGCATCAGACTTCTGACCTCCGGAATTCATGTTGTTTTAAGCCACTAAATGTGTGGTAATTTGTGGAAGCAGCCACAGTAAACTAATACAGATAATTATAATCAGCAAAATCTAGACTCTCAGCAAGGTTATCAGACAGATGACCTGGGTTTTTCAATGAATAAATTGCAAGGAAAAAAAAGCATAAGCAGATGCTCCCAAGAGAGGGAGGGAGAGAGAGAGAGAGGGAGAAAGGGAGGAACCTATAGATTCAAGGAAACTGAAGAAACATGTTGGCCAATTGCTACGCATGGATCTTATTTGGATTCTGATCTGAACAAAGTATAAAAGAAATAAAACACACAATGGAGACAAGTGGAGAAGTCTGAAAACTGACTCCAGATGGTAGTATCAAAATGTTAAAAAATCGGCTGTGATAATGGTATTGAAATGGATGCTCTTATTTAGAGATGCACACAGGAACATTTACAAATACACGATGTATCTGGATCTGCCTTGCTAGGAATCTGGAGGGGGGCAACTGGGCATGGGTGTGGGTGTGGGTAGAGATGGGTCCACTGTGGCCCTGAGGTGATTAACTGCTGACATTGGGGGATGGGCACAGGCAGGAAGCTGGGAGGTCGGGTCCTGCTTCCTGCCTCCCTAGCAACACAGTGCAGGGGTCAAGGAGAGAGGGTTCCTGGAGCAGGGCTCCATGGTTTCAATTCCAGCTCTGTGACTACTGGTTTGACCTTGGACAGGCTTCTTAACCTCTTTGTGACTCATTTCCCTCCTTTATCACATGGGCATAATAGTTTGTTTCTCTTAGAGGTATAATGAAGATTAAGTGAGGTGAAGTACATAAGACATGGGATGGTGCCTGGCACAGAGAAATCCAGGCTCGTTGCAATTACTATTATCTTTGCAAATGTTGAGGTATTCGATTTTGAGAGGCCTCTCTCCTTCATTTGATGAAGATATCTGTAATAGGACTTCCTATTTTATTGAGTGATTATGCAAATAACATGAGGTAATACATATGAAAGAGATCTGAAGAAATTAAGTGTTCACAAGTGCATGGCATTTTTCTCCTCACCGTATCAATAAAAGGTGGCAGTTACAAACAAAAATTTGGCAGTCTGAGAACATTTGTCCTTATCTGGAATTAATGCACCCTGGGAAAATACAGCCTTGCATAGATTTAAGTAACATCCACAGTTCTACTTTCTAAAGTAGTTTTCCATACAGCTGTATACTTCTTAAATACGATGGCCTGCCTGTGTATAACCACAATTTTATTTAAAAAGAGAAGCAGTAGGCCTCAGTATCTATTTTCAGAAAGATGAAGACAAAGTCATACCCTTTTGCAAACTAAATGTCAAGTTACACAGAATTACACTTAAGCACCATTCTAAATGCAGGATTTGCATCTAATCTTTCCTCTCTCTTTGGGATGTACAATTTTATTCAAAAGCTTTAAAAAACCAGTGAAAAGCAGATACTGAATAACTTCTAAATGAGCAGAGTCTCCTCGGGGAAACGGGAAACAAAAGTCAGATTCTATTAAAATGTTCCCTTCCTTTCTAAAAGCTGTTTATGCAACCACACGTAAAACAAAAATTTGAACGGTATCGTCTAAAAATAACAGTTTTGAGCGTAATGTTGGGCTCCTGTTTACAAGAGAACGAGTTACATCAACCATATAGCTGCTATTTCACCTTACAAATACATTTTCCTAGATCTATGCTAAATATTTTAATTATAGCTGACAAGCGTGTGTCAAGGAGAAAAACAAATTATACCTATAACGAGATGTCAAAAGGAATAAAATCACCTCAAAAATAAAATTACAACAGCAGAGACAGCCCTAGATCTCTTAAAATAACTTAAGGAAACATGGTAGAAAACCTACTTCATCAAATGTTTTAAAGAACAGAGACAAGTTTATCTTGGGAAGACTGTGACTAAAAATTCAATACTCGATGAAAACCAAAGCTTCATCAGGGCTGATTCTTCCTCGGGGTTGACAGTTATGCCCTTGTTGAGTATGAAGCATTTGTTCATTCTCTTTCATCACCATGAACTCTTGGTCAAGCTAGTAAGAGGTTGAATCTGTGATAACTGGTGGTTTTTAAAAAAGTTTCCATTCTATACCAAATCAACGAGATGTTCCTTTGTTCATGATTTTTCTTAGGCAGGATTTTTTTTTTTTTTTAATGAAATTTCTTTCCAATATTTCTCTCTTGCTTGTTTTTCTAGGAAAAAAAAAAAAGTGACATTGTCTCACAAATTAACCCCACTGAGACCCTTACCTCGTGCTTGTCAGGAGCTATGAAGTTCAGCTGGCAGTTTGAGTCATACAAGATGGAGAAAGCAAGTTCAAGCACCTCCTACAAGGGATCAGAGAAAACACCACAGTGAGGAAAAAGGGGCACATTCGTTCTGCAGTTATAAATGGCTGCAGACTGAACATGGAGTGAGTGCAGACATGGGGGCAGCAGTGAGGCTGATGGGAGGAAGGGGCGTTTTTTTTTTTGTTTTTGTTTTTTAAATCAAGGTTCACAGCACATATCCTTCTGTTTAGGGGAGGGTCTGCATGAACCAACTCATTTAATTCTCAAGATAGTCCTTGTAGCAAGTGTGATCATTCCTCTTTTAGGGGAAGGAGCTTGGAGAAGTTAAATCATTGTCCAAAGCCATATAACCCCAAAGCCATGATACTCTTCTTTCTTCAGCTCCTCCCTTCCAGGTCCAGGGAGACCTGAGAAATCGTAAACTTTTCCCCAACCAGCAGATTAAGGGCTGCTCTATCTTTGATCATCCCCAAACAGACAGATGTCCATAGAGGTATGAACTTCCTAAAATATGGAAGCTACATGGGAGCCAACGAGGCTTGTGGATGAACTCATTATCTTTAGGTCCTTTAATCTTTGAAGTACTGTAGAGCAAAGGCTACATAAAACTTAGGTGTTATCCAGAGGCTGCAGAGTATAAAGGAGAAACAAGGGCCCAATGTTAGAATACGTGGGTTCATTCATTGGTGAGCGTCTACTGAGTGCAGGCTATGAGCCAGACCCAAAGGGCCAAGGATTAAGTGACACTGTCATTGCACTGTAGCTGTATGACCTTGGCTGAGACACTAAATGTCATGTCTAATATGTATGTTAAAATACACTTCTCAAATTATATGTGCTGTACATTATTGGATACAATGATTATTCTATTGGTTTGAGCAGTTAGTGGGATACAAACTTTAGAAGACAGTCATGGCACATCTCAACACCTTAAAAGCTCCTAATCTGGAGGGAAAGGGCCAAGTGTACCCATATTGGTGCTCTGCATTGTTACAACACACACATACTGCATAATTTCCTAAGAGGGCAGGTCTTTCCACATCATTCTCTGCTTACTATTTGTCAGAGGATTTGCCTTTGGCCAGTAACTCACAGCAAGAATGCCCCAGAAAGAAGATGGAAGGCAAACAGATGAGGTCAGTGCCTCCAGATTTCAGAATTTCAAATGGGTTAAAGAATTCTTGCCAAGTGAACACTTGAAGGCCTAGCATTAGCTGGATGTCTCTCCTGACACAGTCAACCATCCGGCTATTTGGGCTCTCGTGGGGTTTGTCTGTGTCTGACTTGCCTCCAGCTGTCCCCTCATTAAGAGGGAGTAGCTCTTATTCTGGGCCTAGACCTACTGGTGTCTCAAGCTCTTACAGCCTCCTCACCCTGCCAGAAACAGGAGCAAGTGAAGGAAAGAATGCCGAGTCAGGAATGGGAGCTATTCTGCAAACTACCGCTCTCCTCATTTTCATTACTTCTTCCTTGGGCCTCTATTCAGGCCTGCCCAGTGGAGATCAATAATACTAAAAAAAGAGTTCACCAAAACAAACAAAAACATTTTTTTTCTATTAAGTTTAGCATCTCTCTTGGGTCTTTTAGTTTGTCATGGGCCCTACTAGTGGCATCATAAATTGGTGTCATCTTTAAAAAAAAGCAAAAACAGGCAATCCATATCAAGAACCAGGGATCCCATTACTGGGATTATTCCTAAAAAATCAAAAAGCAAGCAAATTCCATATACATTGTTACCTATAAGAATATAACATGAGAACTAAATAAATGTCTTCCCCAATTTGGGTAAACCATTAAAGAAATCACAAATTAGCAGAGAAATATATTCAGCCAGCCACTGAGTACGATAGTTATGAAGATCTGATCTTAAGTGAAAAGAAGCAGGAGAAATGAACATTATTTATATACTGATCACAATTATGAACAATGACTACCTGTGGACAGAGACTGGAGGCAAATAAGGTGAAATGAAAATAATTATGTTAAGGGGCTGGGATCAGAGGTGATTATTTTTTTTTTTTAAAAAATGTAAAACTTTTTTCAATAAAATGTTAAGCTCTGATCTCATTAATTCATAAAGATTGTTTTTAGATTAGGAACATTGATATAAATGATGATTTCATACTAATCTCAGTGTCATTCATTAGGAAAACTGACTCCTGCTTGAGAGATTGGGGAGAAAGGAGAGGATGGGCTTTGCTATGAATGACCAGTCAGTATATGGTGACAGCCCTAGGTGACCTTTGGAGGTCACTAGGAAAAGGTGAAATTCACGAACGGATTTCTGGGCTGACGCTGGACAACTGGCACTCTGCTGAGGCAGTCACACGGCTCATCCCCTTGTTAATGACAGCTAGGGTGAACACAACCAGAGCCCAGACACAGCCTCTTGACTAGGTGCTGAGGTCACCTGAGGCCAGAGTGTCAATGTGGCTGTCCTTGTGACACTTTCTCTTCTGCAGAGGCACAGAGAAGGAAGAGAAAGGAGGGAGCCTGCCAACTTTGGGTTTTGCCTTCCTAAAGCGCAAACCAATGAGGACGTGAAGGAGCGGAGTCGTCATGACCTAGATTCCTGATAAACACAGGCAGGAAATGGGAAATTCGTGAGAATGTCAATCCCCACTTTCATTTCACCAAAGCTGCCTGGGAGGGGTGGGAGGAATTAATTCTCTGATCCACATGCCTGCATTAAAGGCTGCTATCGCCTATAATGAGTTTTATTGACGTCCCTGGCTTGTTGTCATTGAGTCACTGGTGGAGGTCAGCTCTTCTAGGCTACAGAGCTGGGAGCGATGGCACCTCTCAGACTAACACTCCAGAAGCTGCCACCTGTCCAAACCGTCTGTGAGGGATAGAGGTGCCAGGAGGTGGTAGAAGAGGAGTCATGGATCTGGGGCAGTGTCCCCCTCAGGGGCTTCGTCACACTCCACAGCATTCAGACATCTGATGCTCTGGGGCTTTGCTACTCACGACCTAAGGTCCTTTATTCCCTCTGGATTTAATTCCATGAAAAATAATGTTCAGGAGCTCCTATTTTCATTCTCTATTCCATTAATTTACATCTCTCAGCATGTGGAGGAAGGCCCGGGATGGGAGAGTTCTGGGGATAGAGGAGGCAGGAGAATCTGAACATCCCACCCCTCAACCATGCCCTGGGGCCTCTGACCCCATCCTCAACTCTTGGGCCTGCGTGCAGTGACAAGGCATGCTGGGTCAGGAGAGGCTCAGAGAAACTCTAGACATGGATGGCACTTTGTTTTGGGGACTGCCATTTTCCAGCAGGCAAATGTCAGATTGAATACAAGAGTAGAGTTTTATGCAACATATTTTCAGTATTCAGCGCTGGCTGCCATTCCTTATATTGTTTTGGGGTGACACGTCTCATTTGGCCATTTTTCCCAGCATTCCCTTGAACTATGTTGGTTCTCCACCATCTATTCAGGTTGTCTGGAGGGCAAAGACATAGGATATAACTTGGCATGTGAGTGTGCTGAATATGGCCATAGGCATAGCAGTAGATTTCATAGCTAAAATACACTGCTGCTCATCTATAGATCTATGAGTTTGAGTTTCTATTTTAGAAGGCAAAAATTACTCATTCATGTAGTACATAATAATAGAGGATACTGCCTTCTTTGGGCGGCTATAACTTTCTGGCCCCAATCTGTCTTAACATTATCAGCCAATAGTTCTCCAACTCATTTTCTTCTCTCGGTCCTCTGTCTCTCTGGTCTTTTGTCTCTCAGTCCTGTACTCTGAATTCAATGTTTCTCAATCAGAGGATGTTCTTTCATATGTTGGAAGGACCCTGTGCCTTTTCACATACTCTCTCCTCTTTCTAGAAAGTCTTCCTCTCACTTAGCAATTCCTTTTCAAAACCCAGCTCAGACATCATTGCCCCTGGGAGTCTTTCTCAAGTCTCCTGGGCTCTCCCTGTATTTAAATGTCCCAGAGTTTTGTAGTGAAAAGAAGAAAAAAAGAAAAAATAAGAAAAAAAGAAAAAAGGGCCATATGTAGTGAAAAGAAGAGCCATATGCACCCCAATGTTCATAGCAGCAATGTCCACAATAGCCAAACTGTGGAAGGAGCTGAGATGCCCTTCAACAGATGAATAGATAAAGAAGTTGTGGTCCATATATACAATGGAATATTATTCAGCCATCAGAAAGGATGAATACCCAACCTTTACATCAATATGGATGGGACTGGAGGAGATTATGCTAAGTGAAATAAATCAAGCAGAGAAAGTCAATTATCATATGGTTTCACTTATTTGTGGAACATAAGGAATAGCATGGAGGACATTAGGAGAAGGAAGGGAAAAATGAAGGGGAGGAAATCAGAGGGCGAGATGAACCATGAGAGACTATGGACTCTGAGAAACAGACTGAAGGTTTTGGAGGGGAGGGGGGTGGGGGGATGGGTTGGCCCAGTGGTGGGTATTAAGGAGGGCACGTACTGCATGGAGCACTGGTTGTTATATGAAAACAATGAATCATGGATCACTACATCAAAAACTAATGATGTATTGTATGGTGACTAACATAACATAATCAAATCAAATTAAATTAAATTAAAAAAATAAATGTCCCAGAGTATAGACAACATTGGATTATCATTGCATGTTGGCACATAAGTCTTATATCTACTAGACACCCAGGGCCAGGGGCCAGGTTGTATTTATCTTTGAATTCCCAGTTCCTGGCACAGATCTGATAGAAAGAAGATACTCAATCTCATATGAGTATGAATGATGAATGAAGTAAATCTCAACAAAAGGCTTTTGGGTTAAGACCAGAGTTTTCAAGATGATGCTAGAACATCAGCTCCTAGTATAATCTGCTTCTTATTTCAGGTTCATGAATCACTCTGGAAAAATAAAAGCTGGATTCTAGGACATGGTGAGATGGAAGCTTCTGATATGTCAAATACATTCCTATCTGTATCAGTGAAATCTGGTCAGATTGGTTCCTTTCCTTTTTCTATTCCCAGGACCTTGGACAGTGCCCTGCATCTCAGATGCTGAATGAGTGAGAAGTCCTGTCATTTACCAATGTATTGCTATTAACAAAGTGTCTCCCTTAAGGATGCTAATGTCAGTTTGCCTTGCTCAGCAATTAAACTAACCAAAGTCTCATGGCACAAAATGTCAGAACCTACCCTCCAGTTGGAAAAACTGTCTGAAGAGCCAGCAACACACATTGGTTACTGCCCACTACCATGTACCAACAGACCTCCTGTAGACATATTTTGGTCAATTCTCCCTTCAAGCTGCAGATATCCCCTTTTCTACCAGAAGTCTCAGAGGTAGGGAGCAGCAGGCCTGTGGAGTACTAGGAGAAGGGGTGTGGGTACGGGGGACTGAGGAAGGAAATTCTTAGAACCATGGGTTTCCTTTCTGCCTTTTGATGTTTTACCTGATGAACCAGGTGTATGAACACTCAAAACATTGCAAAACAAACAATTTTCATGTGTATGCAATGAAAGCACCAGGCTGGTGGAGATACTGCCTGTCTCAGCCCCCAAGGTAGCCTGGAAGAGCTGGGGGTGACTGGAACATCTTAACCAGGGGATACCCGGGACTAGCCTCCACTTGCTATCATATCTCTGTGTTTATAGCAGTGTGCCCCATCCATCCATCCATTCATCCATCTATCCAATTTTCCATGAGTGCCATGACAAAAAAAATAGATTGAAAAATGTCATTTACTCTGTTTTGTTGGTCTCTATGGGGAGAGGAGTCTGACACAGGAAGGCCACAATCCACCCACACATATATGCTCAAATGAGATCATCATCTCTACCCCTGTTTCAGTATTGGTCACTTGTGTCTTCTCTCTTTTTTTTTTTTTTTTTTTTTTTTGGTTAGTCAGGCTGGAAGTTTATCAGTTTTATTAATCTCTTCCAAAAACCAAGTCTTGCTTTTGTTGATTTTCCCTGTTTTCAGTTTCACTGATTTCAACTCTAATATTGATTATTTCTTCTGTTTGCTTTAGGCTTAAATTGCTCTTCTCCAGCTTTGTAAGGTGGAAAATTTATTGATTTTTAAGTTTTCCTTCTTTTCTAATATATATGTGTTTAATGTTGTAAGTTTCCCTCTAAGCACTGCTTTTGCCCCATCCTGCACATTTTGATGTTACATTTTAACTCTATTTAATTTATTTTGTAATTTCTCTTGAGACTTCTTTTAACTATGGGTTACGTAGAAGTGTATTCTTAAATTTCCAAATATTTGGGGAGATTTCCCAGCTATCTTTCTATTACTGATTTCTAGCTTAACTCCACTCTGGCCTGAGAACATACTTTGTATGATTGCTATTCTTTTAAATTTGTTAGGATATATTTTATGGCCTAGAATGTGGTCTGTCTTGGTCAATGTCTCTTGTGAGCTTCAGAAGAATGTGTATTCTGCTGTTGTCAGGTGGATTTTCTATTAATGGTAATTAGATCAAGTTGACTGATGGTGTTGTTCTAAGTCATCAATATCTTTACTGATTTTCTGTCTGCTTCATCTATCAATTACTGACAGAGGGGTGTTGAAATCCCTATATAATAATGGATTTGGGAATGTCTCCTTTTATTTCTTTGTTTTTGGTTTTCTGCAGTTGGAATATGATATGCCTAAGTGTTGTGGGTGGGTTTTTGTGTTTTGTTTTGTTTTTTTTGTATATTTATCTTGCTTAGTGTTCTCTAAACTTCCTGGATTTGTGGTTTTATGCCTGTCATTAATTTTGGACTGTCCTTAGCCATTCTTGATTTAATATTTCTTTTGCACCATTCTTTTTTTGGTCTGGTATTCTAATTATACGTATGTTATACCTTTTGCAATTCTCTCTGTTCTTTGGGGTTTTCATTTTTTTCCCTCTTTATGTTTCAGTTTAGAAGTTTCTGTTGACTCATCTTTAAGCCACTAATCCTTTCCTTGGCCACGCCAAGTCTACTGATAAACCTAGTAGAAGCATTCTTCACTTCTGTGACAATGTTTTTATTTATAGCCTTTCCTTCTGATTCATTTCTAGAGTTTCTGTTTCTTTGCTTACATTACCCATCTCTTCTTTCAGGTTGTCTCCTTTTTCCATTAGAGCCTAAAACACTTATAATCTGTTATTTTAAATTCTCTGTCTGATAATCCCAGCATCTGTGTCATAATGGAGTCTGGTTCTGATGATTGCTTTGTTTCTTCAGGCTGTTTTTTCTTGCTTTATGGCATGCCTATAATTTTTGTTGAGATCCAGACATGTTATGTCAGGCAATAGGAAGTGAGATATATAGACCCTTATGGTGATGATTTATGTTAATCTCACAAGGAATTGGGATATGTTTAATATTTGCTGTAGCTATAAGTGTCAGAGGCTTCAAATTCCTCTAGTGTCCCTGTTTTTGTCTCCTCTATTGACTTTGGGCTTCCCTAAGTATTCTTCCTCAGAGAGAGTTTATGTCTTGCAGAACTTTCAGCCCTGATCGACTGTTATATTATCTTGGAGTCTTATTAGTGTGGTGGTAGGATATGGGTGATGAATAGCATTTAATTTGCCAATTAAGTCTTCATCTTTTAGGGGCTCTGTATCTTCTGGCTGTCACCTTCTCAAATGGTATAGCCTTCCCCTTCCCCTCCCACCCTCTCTCCTTTTTCCTGGCTGCAGAGTTTCCTACCAATTTCCTTGAGGCTCTGACTGCTATTGACTATGTCTCCCTCAACCCCCAACCCCACAGTTGAGACAGAAAGGCTAAAATGAGATAAAATGAGAGAAATTCTCTTCCTCTAGATAGTAAAAAGATCTGGAGAACAGAAATTTGTTATGGAGAAGGCTCTGGCATATTTCATGATTACTCTTCCTTTTCCCCTGCCAGAGACATGAGGGGTGGTCCTTTTCAGTTCTTCACTGTAAGAATCCACTAGGGTTACTGGAGGTAAAGCCCATGAAAGTATGCCACCCCTTAGAAGACTGAAACCCTAAGTTTTTCACCCTCACACTAGCCCACACTCAGCCTACAGCAACTAATCAGAATTGTCATTTAAGTGATCCTACGATTTATAGCTCCAGTGGATTCTGCCCCGGGTGGGCAGATCTGGCTGTGGCTCTCTGGATGCACTTGACTCTCCAGATTCCATGGTGGCAGTTTGCCTTGCAACCTCAGTTCCCTGGTAGGTCCAAGAAAACTGTTGGCTTTCACTTTATTCAGTTTCTTCTTACTACAAGGATAGGAGTGACAATTCCCAAGCGCCTCCCATGTTGGGACTGAAACCAGTCTCTCCACATGCATTTTACCTAATTCTCTCTATCCCTACTCAGAGTGCATGAGTCTTGGCAGTCTGTTTTGCTGCAAACTACACCCTTCCTGGCCTTCTCTGGGTTATAAACTCTTGTTGCTGCTAATTTCCTGCTCAGCTCCAAGTGTTATATAACCACGGGGCTGAGCAGAGCCAGTGCTCCCTGAGACTGTGCTCTGCATATCAGGTGGTAGAGGAGGCAAACCATGAAGACTGGGAACTTGCTGTGTAGTTAAGGATGCTCATCTGAAATCTGATGAGCGGTACCATCCCTGTTTCCCCATATCATAAAGAAGAGAGAAATGCTGTGTAACAGGTGACCCACAGACTCTGAGGCATGCCCTTATATCATTATGCTGGTCAGTTAAATGCATTATATGATGGTGCTGTGACAGGCTTGACAAAGAAGGAATTCACACAGAGTTGAGGTGAGTTATACTTATGTGACTTAGGAAGCAATGATTTTGCTATCAGCCTTCTTGGCTGTATCTGCTCCCCTTTATCTTCCTAAATAGTACTTTTACAGTACAACAGATCTATGGGATATTTTTGGTACCAAAGTGGCTGCAGCACCCAGATCAATCTAGATAATTTTGTTCATGGAGGGGTACTATGTATCACAAGATGCCGAGAGGTAGAAACAATGAATTGGCTCTCTGGTGGCCCTTCCAAAGGCAAATACCTGCAAAGTGGGGGCAAAGGAAATTCTTTCATCTTTTCAGCTAGTGTCTCCTCCCACACCCTCTAGTATGGAACCCGGGCTGTTATGATGAACAGCTGGTTGGTAAACTAGGAGGGGAGGGTGAAAACTATTATGATATGAAGAGGATTTAAGCAATATTCACCTCTGGGGAAATTTTCCCCTTGAAGCTGGGTTTGAGTTATTTCACAGTACTTTCCATGACACTGAAGGCTATCAGGCCCTTAAGTTTTCTAAAATGTTTTGAATCCTCTGGTCTCTGCCTTTCCCAGGCTTCACAGAGACTCCAGAGAGGCTACCGAGGAGGTAAGGACAGCAGGAGAAAAATGGAAGAGATTGAGGTGGAAGTCAGGGAAGGGAGAACACGAACATAAATGGGCGGCTAGGAGAGGCCCAGAGAACGGATGGAGATGAAGGGAGAAGGCTTGAGGGTGGCTTGGGTGACAACAGTGGGGAGGCAATCCCTAGCGTTGTCAGGAGACAGGAAGGGAGAGAATGGAAGAGGTGGGGGAGGCAGGGATTTGAAAGTGATTGGTGAAAGCCTAAGCCTAAGGGATATAAAAGCAGTCAGGGAAGGAAAAAGGAGAGCTGGGTAAGTGACGTGCGATAGCACATGCACGCACACACACGCGCATGCATGTACACGCGCATTGCTAGTAACGCGGGGCTGGGCCCCCCACAGTCGCTGACTGCACTGTGCAGATAGCACTCTTCGCAAGAATTTGTAAATCATACCTTGTTTTGTTTAAGGGCACCTTTCTCTTTCATATGAGGACAGTCCTTCCCCGTCACCACAGCTTTGATATCTGCCACCGGCACTGCAATTCAGAAGAGAAAATGAAAGTCACTACACCGTGGGAGAACTGAGATGTCAGGAAAGAAGCAGGGCTGAGCGCGGAGTCTGCGAACACAGTTGTCATTCCTCAAACCACTGCAACACGAGGAAAGAAAAGAGGTAAAAAGAGAGAGACGTCAGGCAAAATCCCAGGGCCAGACGCTAAAATGGATTCTTATATTCTGCTCAAAAGCATCCCTGGGGAGACAAATCTATGTTCACAAGCAGAATTTGGTTCACTAAAACAAATCCCTAGGAAAACCCATCATTGTTGTGTAGAAGTGATGGTATCAGAATCAGCAGTAATAATACTACGACCAGCGGTACTAATACTGTACTAGCTCCTGCTACCAGAAAGAACACCAGGTGCTTCGCACACATTGCTATCTCTTGCTACAGTAGTTGGATCTATTAGCTCCTGAGTTTTGGATAATGAGGAGAAGCAAACTTACCAAAAAAAAAAAAAAAAAAAAAAAAAATCGATCTGGATCTGAACACTCACTCTCCAAATTCTCGCTCTCTACCATCTCGTTAATTCTCACAGCAACTCTGTGAGATAGGTTTTTTTTTTTTTTTTTTTTTTTTAATCCCTAGTTGACAGACAACGGAAGTAAACTCAAAGAAAGAGAACATTCTTTTCTGGTAGGGAAATGGTAACTGGTATTTACCTTGGAGATCCTGAGAATAATGCAGTTAGATAAAATGATGTTATCTCATGTCTTACTCAAGACTTGGAGGAAGATAAAAGACGAGGACAGGTTTGTGCATTTAAAACTTCTGTCAAGATCATGTGAGAAAGAGAAGGCAGTAAGATGGCTTGGAACCACACTTTTAAAACTGTGAAGTCACCTGTCCCTCTCCAATCCCTAATCTTGTAGTCCCACAAGGGACTGCGAATCCTGGGGCCCACTTAGGATCTGCAGAAACTTCGAGTAATCAATGCCTTAGACTCCCTTAATGATGAAGATGATGAGAGATTTCATAATTAAGGTTCACATACTTTTACTGAAGAATTGGGTTGTGGGGGAGAGATTTAGATGAAGATGAAATTATGAAACATATAGAATATCAAAATGATGCAACAGGAAGGCCCTTTAAAGCTAACATTTTCCAGGTCTCCTAAAATTGCTAAGACTTTGTTCAAATCTTGACAGCCCTAGAGCTTTTTCTAACCCTAGAGACAAGTGGGGTTGTCATGAACTCTTCCAGGAATCTCGGCACATACTCCCTGCAATCTGTTCCACCACATCTGCTCCTTCATCTTGAAATCCTGATTCTAGATCGCGTTGGCAGGCATTACTTGTGCTGACCAATATCTGGTTTTCCCCTCTTTCTGGGCATATGGAAGACTACACTTCCCAGCAAACTTTGCAGTGAGGTGGGGCCACATGATTAGGTCTGGCCAGTGAAATGTGAGAGGCAATGGCATTCATGTCTCTTCTTGAAGGAAGCAGTAAAAAGTCCACGTCCATCAGCCTCTCTTCAGAAACTGAAGAGGCCACACATTCCATCCAGATGCACAGCTATGGGATGGCACGGCAGCCACTGGCTGTGTCCCTGAGGGACTGTGTAGAGCAGTCCTTCCATGGCCCATGCCAGTTACATAATGTGAGTGAGAAATACACTCTTGTCATAAGCCACTGAGATCTGGGAGCTGTTTGTTCCTGCAGCATAATGCAGCAATGTGGCCTACCGTGAGCAGTGTGATCTTTTACCTTGGATGCCTTCCCTGCCCCTTTGGATTGGCATCTTCCTATAGAGGGTCTCTATAATTCCTGGACCTACTTTTGACCACTCACGGCCTTCAGCTCTCCTGAAATCCATTTTTATAACCAATAATCAGTCCTGTTCCCCTCAGTGGTCAGTCTGGTTGCCTAATCACTACCCCAGGAGGGGTACTTTAGGAGGCACTTTAGGAAATTGGATTGACTCCATGTTTGCTTTTCAATTGGACCTCCACCACTGAAGTGAATTTGTGAAAGAGTTAACCTACCAATTCAAAAGCCTTCTCAAGCTTCAGATGGAGTTCGAGTCACAAGTACCTTGCAAAAAACGTCATTTGTTGTATGATATATAACATGGTCAACGAACTAGAAAGAGTTTCTACAATCTATAAATACTAAGTTACCCTTTGGCTTTGAAAACCCATCATATGGAACGGGACAAGAGGAACACAAAAGTCGATGGTGGGAGTAGTCTTCAGAATCTCTAATGAGAAGGCTTTAGGGGAGAAAAGGCACTTTTCCGCCCTGCTCATAGCAGTACATATTCTGTTTTTTAATATGTATTGTCCCCTGTCAGGAGACAAGCTGCTGTATTACTCACAGGATTATGGCTAAGAGGAAACACAAAATTCTAAAAATACAGTGTGGCTTTTAAAGGTTGCTCTTTGCATAGTTTTTCTCTAGATGCACTGGAAGATTAGGCATCAGAAGGGCTAGAATGCATCCTTTCTATTCCCATGAGCAGAATCAGACTCCTATCTCTTGAATCGACACTCTGAGGAGGCAGGAGAGGGCTCTTGATTGCTTCCAAGTCAGGCTGGTGTTTCCATTAGGCTCTTTTTATGTGGGAGCAGTATAAAGAAGTGGTGCCCAGAGATAGGAGAAATAAAAGGGTCCCTGCTGGCGCCCTACACCCCACTCTAAATCCTTGGGGCATGGCTTCATTTCTTTCAATCCTTTTCTCAGTTTGAGCCAGATTGAGACAATCTCATTCAATACTACCATTTCACAGATGGGAAGACTGAGGCCTAAAGAGAGCAAGTAAATTATGCAATGTCATCTTGTTAGTGGGGGACAGAGTTGGGACTGTTTTTTCTTCTACTCTATATGCTCTCTTGCTTGGTCATGGCTTCTCCCTATGTTTGGAAGGTGTCAGCACCCCAAATCATGCTGAACATGTGGTGATCACTTCAGACACTCCAGGAAACTCTTCAACTGCTAGTATCTGTGGAAGGAACTGGAATTGTGATTTAAAACAAAAATACAATTGAAAAAGGAAGTGTGGCCACCAAAATAAGTTTAAGCTTTCACCACTGGGAGCCAAACTGAGGCAGAAAGCACCTCAGGAAGTAGCTAGTAAGCCATGAGCACTTGCTCCATAGACGCTCTTGTGAGTGGTGATACAGAAGAGGGACAGGCAGATCCCACCCCTGCACAGTTCCATGAAGAATCTGATCTCTAATCTGGCAGCGCAGAGCAGTGGGAGGGGCTGTGCCTTTGGAGTCACGGACTGGCTTTGAATTCTAGATCCACCACTGGATCTGTTCCACTTGGGCTGAAGTGCTTGGAGCCTAACCGTCCTCGTCTGCAATGTGGAACTCTGGCATCAGCTGTGTCAGAGAGTTGCCCCAAGAATGACGTCCTAACGCTGGAGCGGGATCATTGTTGGCTTTTCAGCTAGGCAGTGCAGGGTCGTGGTTAAAAGCTGGGGCTATGGAGTTAGATGGTAGCAGAGATCTCTGCTCTACTGTTTACTAACCATGGGTTATTAAAAGTCTTCTGTACCTCAGTTTCCTTGTCTGTAAAAGAAGGGCAATGATGTCTACCTCTCCAGGTTGGTGAGAGGGTAATTTATGTAGAGCTCTCAGCACGGTGCCTGGCATATAGTAAGCACTCAATAAATGTTGTTCGTAATTATTCTCGTTATCAATAATCAAAGTTAATTGTCTCTGTAGGTCAAGGAACCTGAATTATTCATGGTGCTTCGGTGACCCAAATTGCCCACTTTGCTTTGCTCTCTCAGCTGCTCCTCTCATCCTCTGTAACAGGCTTAATCGCCTTGTGAGGGGGTGAGCCTTCTCCTCCCTGGCCCCTTTGATGTGGGAGTGAGGAGCTCTGGCCTAGATTCTTTCAAAGGGCGGCACTGAGGGGCCTGGGGCACGGCTGGAAAGCCGCGGAGTCTAGTGTCTAGTGGGGACGATGAGATCCTGTAAACGTGGTGATTGGGATGTGGGGCCGTATCTCCTGCCAAACAGAAGTAATACGAGAAGAGATTTTCTAAACCTTTTGGGGTGATGACAGCTAGGGAGAGGCCCTCGATTTCTACTCACCCTCTCTGTATTAAGAAGATTCAATTACACTCTTTGATTCATCAATATCTCAATATTCAGCACTGATTAACTCGAGGGGCAGAAGACAACTTCCCCCTTGGTCTCAGGAGAGGGCACTCATACATGGCAAGAGCAATGGCACTTGATATTAATTAAAGGAACACTTCATTTTTCTAGTGGAATGAGGTTTATGACTTCTAAGGGCTCTAAGAGGATGGGCAGAATGCGGAATTGGAATTAAATGCAAACCAGTGACAGGTCCGAAGCAGTCAACTTAAGTTTCCTAAGCTGAGGCCTGCTCATCCCAGGCACATACTAGGTCCATTTTACTTCTTACATGAATACACGCCCTCCCTGGCTCATACGCGCATCCAGATACTATCTCACCAACACACACACACACACACACACACACACCCTCCTACGTGCATACACTTGTACAGGTATGCATTCCTGGTTTATCCTGCAATGGAGATAACCTGGTGATGGAGCAGCTCTGTTGAACTCAGGTACTGGCTTGCAGAAGAAGGGGCAGCTAGAGTCTTTGGAGCCATTGTCAGAAGGGACCATTGTAACCCTTTCCCAGAACCAGTATCACCGTGGCCACTACCAGAAGCTGTCTGGAGATTTGCAGATCTGGCCTTGCTCTTCTGCGACCACCCTGGCAAGCTGTTTCTCCCTGGCTTTGGCACTCCGGGTTTATAGCTAGTCACTTTCACCTGGGCTCTTGGGGGTGCAGGCCTTGGTAGAGCTGGGGGGTATCAGCTTGCCAGCAAGCTGAGGAGCTGCCCCTACAAGGCTCAGACATTCTCTAGGAACAGGGCTCCCAATCTCCTAAGCAACGGAACCAGCTAGAATGGGAGTGCTACATATAAAACCTGCAAACAATGCCAACCAAATGTCTATCTATAATAGGGTTATATCCCTATAAAAATGGGGATAAATAATATGTCCAGTGAGTGGGAGAGCCAATTCACTGGCCCACATGGGGAAAAAAAATGAATCAAGCTGTGTGTGTGTGCGTGTGTGTGTGTGTGTGTGTGTTCGTGTTCTGCCCAGACCATTTTCCCTATTTCCTGATCAGGTTAAGAATGAGACTATGGAAGATTTTGTGTAGAACTTCTGGTTGCCTTGAGCAACAGTAATTTCTAACTCCTCATTTTACCACTGCAGAGCAGTGATTCCAAATTGCTGACCTCTGGAAAGTTCTAAGTTTATGAGGGAGGTTTTACCAGTGAGTTTTTCACCAGTTAATAGCAAACAGAGGAAAATGAAGACACAGCTGTGAGTTTTTAATAAAGCTAATTTAATTTAGTAGACGGGACTGTCCTATATTCCAAGATTAGGTCTTTCAGGTCTTTCTTATTGTTTTTCATGATCAAGAGCCCCTTTTTAATGAAAGGAATGCGATATTAAATTTTAGTTAGATCTCATTTTTTAATAGACTTTTTTTTTTTTTTGCCAAAATTAAAAGTTGGCAACCCACTGTCAATTCACTTTTTTTTTTTTTTTTGCTCTTCTAAAATATTTACTTACTGGTGAAGCCAACTTTGGGAAATCACCATGCAGAGTAGAGTATCTAGCTCAGGGGCTCTCACTTTGAATGTGCATTGGAATTGCCTGAGAGTCTGTGAAGACCGAGATTGCCGGCCCCTACACCCAGTTTCTCATTCAGCAGGACTGGAAATGAGGCTGCAAAACCTGCATTTCTAGGAAGTTTTCAGGAGATGCTGCTCATGGTCCAAGGACCACCCTCAGAACCACTGGTCCAGCTTGTCCATGGTGGAATGGGCAAGGCTTTCTGAGACCTGAAGGGAGAGTCCTCGTTATGTTGCCACAGTAGGGATGCAGACACCAGCTGACTCTGCACTCATGCCTTTCTGATTTCCTGCTCCTCCCACTAACGGGGCTAATAATGTGCGCCGGCGAAGTCGTGCTCCTATGATGGCAAACAAGATCGCTTTCTGAACTAAATGACTCTATGAAGACCAGACTGTTGCATTTTGATGCTGGAGGAAGAGAGAATGTTCTAGGCTGTCCACCTGATAGGTCAGCCCAGAGTCTGAATGTGTCAGGAGCTTCTCACTTGTGGCTACTTGTTGCCTTTGGTGGCCACGGGCTGCAAGGAAGGCAGCCCAGAGCTGACTTCCGTGGGCCCTGGGGCGACAAGCGGAAAGGCGCTGGGGCTTGGGGGTAAGGATTTGGTCTGGGACACGCTTATATGACTCATGCAGGGTCAATGTGACTTTTGAAAGCTCTTCAAAAGTGTTTCTGTTTTCTCACTCTTTGGGTTCTCTACCTGGGATATCCTCTGACACCATTTTATCTCATTTATCATCTAAATTAATTCATCACCCTGGTGTATTTTAATGTTTAATGTTTCTATAATACCTGGTTTAATTTGTACACTTATTACTGTCTAAAAACCTGGAACTTGGTTTGGTGTTGGGCTAAAATAATTAGCAAATTACTGGCTCTTGGAAACATACATGTTAAAATATCATACAGAAACAGCAAATAAATACAAATACAAAGTATTTCAGGGAATAGTTTGCTGACAATAGAATGTAACTGATCATAGATTTTTCTGAGTGTCTCAGTTACTTCTCTGCCATTAACGCTGCATTATAATGATGGGATACACTAAACTATAATGAATAAATGTGGTAGGGACTCTCGTGAAATTATTTTGGGTCACCAGAAAAAGACAATTGACAGAGTCAAGTTTCTATTGTCTTTGCTCCCTGAAACAGCACCTGGAAAGTGGTGCAAAAGTGGATGTCTGAACTCCAGGTTTGTATTTTTCAGGAAAGATATGTGAGCATTCCTTCTGCACCCTCCCCTCTTCAGCCCCAAACCCATAATCCATCAGGGTCTCGTGCATGATGGGAATGCTCGGGCTGGGACTTACAACAAGATGAGACATGCCCAGTGGATTAATTTGGGTTGGTAGTTTTCCTGCATGCTATTTTGTGACCAGGAAGCTAAACCAACCACCCAAACTCAGTCCTCCTACACAGGAGAGCCACTTACGTTTGTCCTGCAGGGAATCGTGGGGCACTTCTCCCTGGGGACTCTCTTCCAAGTCTCCATAGTGTAGGACTTTGTGGTTGGGTGAAAGTCGACAGTACCAAAATTTGTCTGAGGGGAAAAAACACATACAAATTTATAAGGTAAGTGAATCTGATTTCCAAAAATATCGACATCTTTATTTCGTAAGAGTCTTGCCTAGGAGAACAAGCAATGCATTTGATTTTAGGTCTTCAGGAAGGAATGAATTCTAGAGCCCTGGGTAATAAGTCCCCTTTTGATTTTGATATTTAGTTAGCACTGTCCTGCTAACCATTCGGGAGGTCATTAAACCCTTCAGGAATAATGGCATCAGGTTTTCTGAGGTGGCAGTTTCCAGAGGGTTTATTTAATCAGTATCTATAATGACTATGGGAATTATTCCTTGTCCACGTAAGCCTGGCAAAGGTGGGGAGGTAGATGTAGAAAAACCAGCTTTCTTGGAACTCTTCTGCTTCCACATTCTTCTCCAAGATGTTAAGACTGTTGAGATAGCTGTGTGCCATATCTTAGTTGGTGCACCAGACCCCCACCTCTGGGGCTAATACACACAAATTAATCCAAGAATGAATTATTAGGATGCTAGTGATAGACACAAGGGGTGGAATTCATGAGAAAATCATCTAAATAATTCAGGGATTTATCCAAAGAATGAGGATAGTCCCAATCGTCTCCTCTCCGATTCCTAGAGTTTAGTTCTCTAAATAGACATGACTAGAAGGGAACTAAGAGATACAGTCTTCCAGTTATAAAATGAGTAAGACATGGGGATGTAATGCATAGCATAGGGAATATAATTGGTAACCTTGTAACAACTTGGTATGGTGACAGATGGTTACTACATTTATTGTGGTGATCATTTTGTAATATATAGAAGTATAGAATCACTATGTTGTAAACCTGAAACTAAACAAAATTAAAAAATTAAGACAAAAACAAAGAAATAGGCATGATCAGGGCCTTAGAGTCATTCTTACAAATAACCCCCTCAACCTAACCTGCTCTGCATTGAAATGTAATAAAAATGTTTGAATAAGCCTGTGAGGTAGGAAGGAGGAGGCAAAAAACACTTTTATAAAGAGCTTAAATTATGACAGCAATCTTCGTGAAGCACTCAAGCAAGGCTGTGCTTAGATGCCTCCTCCTCCAGGAAGCCCTTTCTGATTACTACTTCTGAAGGGACTCTCCCCATCTTCTTAGCTGCCCCAACATCTTCCTTGATTATGGGGGCCCCCATGTGAAGCATCTTGGTATTTCTCATTATTTGCCACAAACCCTAGGGAATCAACTTGCCCTAGCAGGTGTCCTATGAATAATTACTGATGGAAGAGGACTCAGGATACTCATGAGCCCAGACAGTATGGAGACGCCAGGGCTCTCTAATGACAGCCCCTGTCTTCATAATGACGCTATCCCAACCCCTTGGCACAGTGCCTGGCACATAGGAGTAGCACAGTTGGTGTTGGCTAAATTGATATATGAGGACCCAAGGGGACTTGGTCAAAACACTTAAGACATGAAGCATGTATGACCTTGAAAGCATCCATGACCTGTAAGCCCCTCTGTACAGTCATGTAGTTGGCGAACATGGTGGCCTTGGTCAAGTCACCTCATTACTGTGTCTACAAATGTATTGTTTTCAAACTACTCTGATTAGAAAGTACTCCATAACACCTAAGGAAAGTGGGTTCCTATCTAAAATTACCTTCACTGCAAAACTTATGTCTTAACTAGGACTCTTTTAATAGAAAAGAAAGTGTTAAAAATGGAAGGAAAACCACACAACGAACAAAGAAAACGCCCAAACTTGATCCACAAAAGCGAAATGCCTCTGTGATTCCCATCTTCCTCATCTATAAATAGGGTTTGAGAATTCTTTAATGTAGTCAGAATATGGCAATCCATATAATTTAAAAAGAATCTGAACTCTGCTGGAAAAATTTGAGAGGAAAGGAAAAGTTATTTGATGGCTAGGGTAACACCTGGCATTGCTCAATTTTTAAAATCATGTTAAATCTACACATATAACACAGGTCATTTTCCTGGGAGACTATTTCAAAGGGAGAAAATAAAGTTACTCCCTGAATAATCTACAGTCATTTCAATTAGGCAAACATGTAATCACCAGTTCTCCATGAGGAGAACACATTTGGGAATCGGACTCGTGATGCACAATAGGAATTGTGAATTCCAAAGGAGCAGGCGGTGCTCTGGTCGTGAGCATCAGCAGTGCTCCTGGGGGCCCTGTGGAGACTGCACAAAGCCAGCTGGAGAGATTTACTATGAAGCTTCCTTCCCCTGATACCTCAGCACTGGGATTTTTAGCTAAGTGGGTAACTGAAGGGTCACAGAAAGCCGGCAAGGAAGTCAGTGAGCTGTGCACTGGGACACGCTGGTCTTATTCTGAGTAAGGGCCCAACCTGTTCTTTACAGGGACCCCTCACTTCTTAAGCTGGGATAAGCTCCAGGGGTAATGGTAGTAACCTAAAACCCAAGGGCCAATATGATGCAATCAAAGATCACTCATTCTCAGGATACTGGGGGAGCATTACAAAATTTAAGTGGATCAAGCAGATATACTGTGAAGTAAAATGCACAACTTATATTTGTTTGTAAGACTTCAAAAATTTCTGCTGCATATGCTTTCAAGGGACGTTTCCTTATCCAGTGAATATTTGCAGAGTGCCCGATGCACATGGAACTCTGCTGGGTACAGCACAAATTCATCAGGGTGAAAGGCAGACATGAGAGACAGAGCCAAGAAGTTCAAGGATGAGGAGCTCCCTTGGTTCTTGGTGGCAACTGAGAGAAACATGGTGGAAACACTTGTCTCCCAGGCTTAGGAAACAGGCACAGGGACTCAGCAACTCTGAGTAGACTGCAGGGAAAACTAGGAATAGGGAAGGCCTCTTGTGCAGCGTATTCTTCCACTCAGAAACTATGAGAGGACGGTGGTTATTTATCACGGTTCCTGGAGGCAAAGCAACCACTGTCTTCGCAAAGTTGCGGTGCGTGTTTACTGAAAAGAAACACCAAAGGCCTCTTGGAACCCTGGCATATCGATATCTGGGGCACAGCTGACAGAATTTCCTCTGGCTAACCCCTCTCATGCCCTATATGAGTTTCTCTTTCTCAGGCTACTACTAAAATGGGAGAGAGCAAAAAGATCTGGATGTCATTAATGGAAGGGATTGCTCCGTTCCTTCCTCCCCATCAAACAGGAAGTCTTGGATGGATGACAGAACACTGGAGACAGGGGCTGGAAAGTCTTGGGGAGGCTGTTTTGACTCATAAGCAAAGGGGTGGATGCCATGACAGTATCTTCCTCGGGATGGGGGCTGGAGTCATTAGCTCTGGGAAGGTTTAGAGGATCATAACTTGTGTGTGTTTGTCTCAAAGGGGGAGCTGCTGTAGAGCTGAGCGGCCAGTTCTGAGCAAGAAAACACACCGGCTCGTTGCGTGAGGCAGTTTCCATGTCAGCCAGCAGCAGCAGCTTGATTTGCAGTTTCTTTCATGGTAAGAAAAATGTGTATTTCTTTTCAAAACCCAGCATGATGTTTCTAGTTCCTCAATCCCCCTGGGCAATGAATGAGTGGATTGTGTCACTAAAAGCAATTAGCAGGAAGCAGTGAGAACATTACTGAAGTTTGTTTACTAGCATTTAAAGAATAAACAGGAGTTAACATAGAGGTCTTCCAGTCAATTACGATTGTTAGCACGTTAATAACCATTTCTCCATTCTCCAAATTCAGGAACTGACAAGATAGAGATAATTCTGTGCTTCACTTTCTCGGTCTGTCTCTGTATGAGTGCATGTGTGTGGGCGTGCATGCATGTGTGTGTGTGTGTGTGTGTGTGTAGGATCAGAGAGAAAAGCTGGTTTCAGAGCTCACAAGCCTGGTAAGAAGTTCTCCAGGGCTGATTAAAGCTATTCCCAATGTCGCATAGATCATTACGGAGCTAATAACCACTGACAACTGTAATTCTTGCAGCACTGTTTGATAGAACTTTCTGCTATGACAGAAATACTCCATAGATACTTATCCAATAGTAAGAAAAGAAGTTTTAAATTTTATTTACGTTCAATTAAATGAGCCATAGGTAGCTATATCCAACAGAAGACCGTTAGTCTTTAGCACCAAGGCTAGACGCACATTTGGGACTGGCCAGTGGGACTGCAGGGGGGCCCAGCAAGCTGGATACTAGCTACCATGAGTGTGAAATGCTGGGAGGGTCAGTGAGGCACAGGGCACGGCAAGAACGGAGTCTTGATCGGCTCTGTCGGGGACTCGGGGGGCAAATGGCTGCTGGCCCAGGGGGCCCTGAGAGTCCTGTGTTTGGGAAGCAGGTGGCCTTTACTAAAGTAAAATCTTAGGGCACTTCTATTAGGATATTGGAGCTTTCCTAGGTTAACCTAAAATGTGCAACATCTTTAGTGTGCTCAGGTCTTTCTCCTGCCTAGGTCTGAAGCTTCCCAAGTCATAAAACACAAGGGATGCAGCAATGTTTTTAAGGGGAAATGTCTTCTTTGAGTGATGAGATACGTCTGATGAGATTGCTCTATTGGTCCAGTAAAGGAAGACAATGAATACAGATAGAGACAGAGGCCATCCTGCCTTCCAAATCTTCCTCATTTCACTGGATAATCTTTAGAACGAGATGGTGTTCTGATTCCGGATTCTGTCTCCCTGAAGACTGCTGCTTCCTTTCACAACAGAAGATGACTCCAGAACCCCAAATCCTTTTAAAAATGGTTTGGCCTAACTGCTGCTTTGGAGTCTTACAGACCTGGGCTCCACACCTGGCCCTCACACATCAGCTAAGTAGCCTCGGCCAAGCTGTAAGAACCTTAGAGATCCCTACTCCCCTTTTGCTACGTAATGTTAATTATTATCTAAAACATTTCGGCATCCTGCACAGAGCTGGCTCACAGCTATTAGCATCTTCCTCTTTTTCCCATTAACGGTAACCCCTCTTGTCCACTCCTGCTCGCTCCACCTTCTGAGAACAAGAATCATCTCTTATTTTGAGCTACTGGAAAGTGCTTTGTCCCTGAAAATCAACTGGATTTTCTTCCTTTGAAAATATGTGTTGATTTATCCCTTTTTTTTAAATAAAAATGAGTTATGATAAGGTTTAATTAAATATTAAACAAAAATTTCAATCAACAGTGGAGGAAGAAACAGCCTGTTCCTAACGAGGGTTCATTTGGTTACTATGCCTGAATATACCACTTGGCTCTAGGTTTTCTGAGTGGAGACACCGAGATAAGGTAGATCACCCTTGGCAGGGACACGGAAGCATGCTAGTTCCTCGGGGCACATGCTTTGCTCACATCCGAGTTCCAAATTAAGTCTGTCATGTTAGTGCTTAGAGAAGGTGGTTGTGTTAGTGCTTAGAGAAGGGATGCTGGCCAACAAAATGGACAACGTTTTCAATGAGAAGCAAAAGTTTCATGCTATCATTTCTTGTAATGACACTCCAATGTGTAGCCCTGGGCTCTTATCAAGACTATTCAACACGAAGGATTCTGAAAGACTCTAATCTCTGAAATATAAGGAAAACGGAGCAGTTCTTGATCCTGCAGATTCTCACGATGCAAATAATGGCCCTACCATAGACAACTTCTGGAATTTCATCTGAATTCGGTCCCACAGAAGCCCAGGGGACACAGAAGCAAGGCAATCTATCTCATTGTGAAGGAGTCGGAACAGGAGCCTTAGATACTCTGTGGTGGGAACAGAATGGAGTGAGGTTGGTATGTGACGTCCATTGCCACTCTCCCACCTGTGTTTAAAAACCTATATTCTGAGGATCTACAAGCTAAAATTAATGCTAAATGTCACTAAATCATGTTTGACAATGTGTAAAGCACTCTACCCTTACTTACAACTGGCATCATTAGACAGATGAAGAAACAGGAACATAGAGAGATCTAGTAGGTTGCCCAAGGCCACCCAGCTAGCGAGTGGGGAAGCAGAGACTTGAATACCACTTGAGGTGTCTCACATGACTTACTGCCTCCAAGTTCTCCAGTGTGGCCAGAATTCCTAGAAACCCAGATCTGTGAATATCTCCATCAGTCTAACCAAGTAGCAGAGCTGTGCATGAGGCAGGGAGAATGATGGGTAGGTATTAACTTGGGTCTTCTGTCCAAATGTGGTGTGGTAAAGGACTGTCTGCTCCCCCGCTTTCCGGTTCTGTGGGACAGAAAGCTCTTTCCTATTATCCCCTGTACAGTTAATACTTAAATCGGCTCATCTGTATCTGACTCACTGTTGAACAAGTTTTAACGGAGTATGGCTGCCATTCCTTCACAGAGTCCTTGCTCTTTAACCTGGGAGGGCACGTGGCTATTCCCTTCTGAGAGCTCCTGTGGAAGTGCACCTCTTTCGAAGGGATTAAAATGATTTTACAGGGTCGCCTGGGGGATTCAGGTCATGATCTCAGTGTCCTGGGATCAAGCCCCACGTTGTCAGGCTCTCTGCTCAGCGGGGAGCCTGCTTCTCCCTCTGCCCCTCCCCCTGCTCATGCTCTCTTTCACTCTCTCTCTCTCTCAAATAAATAAATAAAATCTTTTTAAAAAATGACTTTACGTCATGTCCTCATTAATCTGTGTAAATCTAAGTGGAATGTTTCTATGGGGTGACAGGAAACCAATTTCATCACAGTCTGCTTTGAATCCCTACTTTTATGCACGCAGATCTAGTCACCAGATTTTAAATCCATTTACCAAACACCAAAAGGTCTTCCTTTCTGCACCCAGAAGGATGATTTTTTTTTTTTTAAAGATTTTATTTATTTATCTGAGAGAGAGAATGAGACAGAGAGAGAGAGCATGAGAGGGGGGAGGATCAGAGGGAGAAGCAGACTCCCCGCTGAGCAGGGAGTCCGATGCGGGACTCGATCCCGGGACTCCAGGATCATGACCTGAGCCGAAGGCAGTCGCTTAACCAACTGAGCCACCCAGGCGCCCCCAGAAGGATGATTTTATATTAAATACAGATGGCTAGGCTCCCTAGGGAGCTTAACTAATAAATTTATAATCTAGGTGCTAATATTTTTTTGTTCATTAGGTAATTCGTTTTTAGAAAATGGGAAAAATTGGCAAATAATGGGCTGATACTTCTTTAGCCAAAAGACTGTCATTATTATATCTAGAAACAGGATTATTCTAGTAGAATCTTATCCATTTCAGCCTAGAAAGGGAAGAAGACTTGTAGTAAAGTAGACCAGAAGGTTAAGTTGAGTTCTTTGAATTACGTTCTGGAGGATTCTAGTTAGACATCAGTGGAGGCACTGGATGGTATAAATCCATGTGCCATCTTCTCCCTCCTCCTCCCACTTTTATGTCCTTTGCCCAATGCCAAGTAAATAAAAACTTTATAAATCATCTTATGGGAGCAGTATGTCCTGACTATTGATTTTTCCAAAGGTGATGAAAAGATCAAGCATAGAATCGACTATCTGGCTAACTGAGCTAAGAGATCATCTAGTCCAATTCTCCCACTTATTAGATGGGAAATTGTAGCCCTGAGAGATTACGTGTCTGCCTAAAGGCGCTCAGTTGGTTACTTAGAGTTGTGAAGCCGAGAGTCAAGTCTACTCACTCCCAGCTCATCGCTCTTTTCCTACATAACCTCCTAGAAGAGTAGCTGCTACCTTTTGTGGTGGCTTTCTCAGAGCTACATTCATGATCACCTTCCCTCCTCACACCTAACTTCAGGACACAGGCATTGTTATCCCCATTTCTTTTTTTTTTCTTTTTTCTTTTTGAGAGAGAGAGTGAGAGCGAGCACAAGCAGGGGGAACTAGGCAGAGGGGGAAGCAGGCTCCCCTCTAAGCAGAGAGCCTGATGTGGGGCTTGATCCCAGGATCCTGGGATCATGACCTGATCCGAAGGCAGACGCTTAACCGACTGAGCCACCCAGGTGTCCTGTTATCCCCATTTTTGATGGGGAGACTGCCCACGGTCACACAGCTGGTCAGGGGGAGAGGCGGGAGTGCACCCATTTCATCCCGCCCCAGGGCTCTTGTCCTCATCATCATGCCACACTATCTTCTGGAAAAGCATTTGCCCTGATGATGATGCCCCATGCAAGGAATGCGGTGAGAAAGGAGGGAGCTCCCTCTTTGGCTGCTCTCCCAACGGAGCCTTTCTCAGTCCCAGCTGGAACTTAGCTCTTATCATCATTCTGCCCATGGTCCTTCCCCTGAGGCCCCTTTTGAAGCTCAGTTCCATAGCTTGCCATCCTCTGGGAACAACCTATACTTTCATTTCTCAAGGAAGTTCTGCCTTTGGAAGTTCCTTAATATGATTTTTAACTGTAATATCTGAAATTGTTTGAATTTACTCAATATTCAGCACAAAACCATTAAAGAAAATAGCCAGGGGGACGGGCTTGGCATAAACATGAAATGATATTTGTCATTAGTGGGTGAGCTCTGTGTCTGAGCAGAGCATCCACTGGTTTTCAAAAATATCTGCCAGAGTTTCTCCTGGGCCATAACTGGTGTTTTTCTTGGTAGAGTTGCTACTGCTTATGCTTGCTCCGGGTTGTCCCTCAATCTCATCACTCTCCCCAGATTTATCTTTAGTTTTAGTTTCTGACTGTTTGTTTATAGGACAGTATGACATGAATCCTGTGACTTTGCAATCAGCAGCCTGTCAAGAGAAGAAGAAAGCAATCAAAAGACTTCACTTCCTTGACTGAGAAAGAGCAGAGAGTGCCTCCTGTCTATTGGAACTAGTCTAATGGCACCCATTCTGACATGGTATTTTGGGATTAAAGTTCACTGAGACAATTCAGAAGTTCTTCTTGCAAGATTATGAAAACTGATTCTATCCCACCTTGGTGCACTGTTACTTAAATCTCCAGATAAAGTAATTTTCACCTAGAAGGGAATCAGTATGGGGATTTGAGAATTAGGGCCATCCATGCTGAAAGTTTCAAAATCAAATCCAGCTGTGGGTACCAGCTCTCCTGACACCAGAGGGAGTCATTAACAGTAAAGGCCGTAAAAAAAAAAAAAAAAAAATTTAAAATAAAATAAAAATAAAATGAAAGTAAGGGCCATAGAGTTGCTGGAGTATGAATCCTTGCTCTTCCGCAACTTTGGGCAACTTAGTTAGCTCCTCAGGGTCTCAGTTTCCTTATCTGTGAAGTGGGTATAACCACAGAGTTACCCAGGGTTACCAGGAGGAGGAAATGCATTAAAATAAGTAAAAGGAGAGCCTGGTACATGGTAAGCTCTCGATACATGTTGGCTGTTCTTGAAAACACACTAGCAGACTCGTGGCACTAAATAGCTCAGGTGGCTTTTCAGTTCCATGGGTCTTCTGGTAATTCTTTGATTTTCCCTGGGTGCACATGGGGAGTCAGAACTTACCCGAACTGCTATTCCTGTTCGGAGTCCAATGCTGCAAGGCCTACCCTTAAGCCGGCACCCATGCCCCATGACTTCCCAGGGGAGCAGGCCACCGTTCACCCTCGCTGGGACACAGTGCCCCAGACACAATACCTTGCCTCCGCCGGCAGTTGAGTTTCCTAAAGCAGGTCCCTTCCACGAGGCGGTTCAGGCGTTGCTGTTTGATCAGCTCCAAGATTTCTGGTTGAATCTTCTCCTTCAGTTCCCTGTGAAGAACACACACGCACTGCATGGCATGCCTTGAGAACAGCACCTGGTTGAAAGGGCATCGTGGGCAGATGGGGCAGCGAAGTGCAAGCCACATCTTTCCACGACCATCCCAACACCTCCCAAGATGGTGCATTAGAGGATTATTTATTAAGAGTTAGTGGACAGGTTGACCTGTTAAAACAACACTATAGATTCTCTGACATTTACAGAATACCCACCAAAGCACCAGCCACTTGCGTGACGTTTTGCTATACCAAAGCCTCCCGAGAAGTTTCTTCCCTTGTTTCTCAAAGCCACAGATATAAACTCATGCAGAAACTCACTTGGCTTTGCCAAGACAATAAATCTTTGGTCACACTTCCCCCCCTACAGCAGGTAAACTCCCAGACTACATTTGTGATCTGACCAAAGAGCAATACTGGGCAGCCATGTAATTACTAATTCCACAGCAAACTGCAGGACCACATTTTGCTTTCCACTCTATCACTTACAAATGGGAGCAACATATCATCCCTGATTCTAGCCCACAGAGCTGGGGATAATGATAGGATAAATTAGGGATTATTTGCATCTTGAGTCAGGCTAATATAATATAACTTAGTTTTAGATGCACTATGCCTTAAAGATATCAGGACAGAGTACAATGTTTTTTAAATCTCTTTTTTTCTAAGAAGATTTTATTTATTTATTTGAGAGAGAGAGAGAGAGCAGGGGGAGGAGCAGAGGGAGAGGGACAAGCTGACTCCTGGCTGAGCACGAGCCCAACTCGGGGCTCCATCCCACGACCCTGAGATCATGACCTGAGCTGAAATCAAGAGTCGGACGCTTAATCCACTGAGACATGCAGGCACCCCAAGAGAATAGTTTTTTTTTTTTTTAATCATGTGAAATTTTATGTAGTGTTCTAGCATTTGAGTCTAGGATAGCTAGAGCTGTTCTGGTTGATGCTGGACAGGGAGAACCCTCAGTAGTGTTAAAGTATTGATTAGAACATAGACCTAGAACTTGGAAGACTAGGGTTTCAATCTAGACTCTGCCCATGACTTGCATTTCATGTAGCTCATCTAAGTCTCAGTTTTCCCACCTGTAAAATGGGGATATGAACATTTTGTGGGAAAACGCTGTGACTCCCAAAGGAGACAGTGTAAGTGCAAGTGCTCTACGAGCCCCCTGGGCAGGAACGCAAAGTTATTACTGAATTTGCTTTGATGATACTCTCTCCTTCCCTCAGGCCAACTCTCCATACGCCCACATTTCACTGTAGTCATGGCTCACATGTCTGTCAGCTTCCACCTCAACTCTGGACCTGCTCCGACTGCAGACAGGCTGTCTTCACAGGGTGATTGGCTCATGGGTGGGGAAGGCACTCACGCTTGGGAAGTGCCTGCTTTGAGTCGGGTAGTGGGACTATCCGATTTTAGCTCAATTAACATCCCCTTCTCGCTCCCCCTCAAAAACCTCCAAGTTTTGGGAACACGTAGTAGTGTTATTAATACGTAGGTATTATTATTTCTATTTTACAGGTGGGGAAACAGCTCATAGAGGTTAAGTGTGGAACTCAATCTTCTGCATACAAACTGCTTCTATTTACATGTGAAATAAAGAGAATTAAAAAGTCACATCAAAGGATCTGGCCCTCTAATGAGGTGTGCTAGTACTCTGCTAATACATATTTTAAACTCCAATGGCTTTAAACCTCCTGTCATTTGATACCCTTGCAACTGAACATTTATAAAGCATAATATGGAGATTGAGTCCTAAGAACACAGCTTGGTACCTTTGTAAAGCTCTCCTGCGCAGACCTCCAGGGTCTCATCTCGGCCTTTCAGATGACTAAAACTATTTATCATCAGTGTTCAGCTTTTGTAAAATGGACTTAGTATACTGCAGCTTTGATGAACCCTGCTCTGAATGGGAGAAAAAGGTGGGGGGAAACGCCAGGGCAGCCACACGCAACAGTAAATCACCGCTCCTGACTTCCAAGCCAGGGCGATGGGGCAGAGAGGATGAAATGGCACTAAGGGATCGAGAGGTCACTGGAGAAAGGGTTTGGGAATTTCATTGATTCTTAGGTTGCGATGTATCTTTAAATAATAGTTTTAGTAGGCTAGAGTTGAATTATTAAAATGGAGATAAAGATGCAGGGAAGAGGACCAAAAGGAGGAAATAATTGAAAGTACTTCCGAGTCATTTTAGTCGATGATTTATGACATCTTAGTGTAAGACCCAGACGTGCGCATGGTGACACACTCCATTATGGAAACGTCTCCTGGGGAGATATTTCCAGAGTGAGTGAATCCACTGCAGCAAGAATTAACCGTTCCTTGTTGTGAACCCCAAAGGCCTCTAAAACATGACTGGGCAATGAGAAAAAGAGGACAACTTTTCTTTTTTTCTAAGTGATTTCCTCTTCTTTTCATGCAAATGGACCCACTTGCTATAAAATTCACTCATATTAGGAAAACATATATAACACCTACATGGTGTGTCTGTGGATGAGGTTGGACCTCAGTGTAATGCGTTGTGGACTGCAGTTTGGGATAGAGATTCTCAGCTTGGGGTCAATGAGGCCAAGGTCATGGGTTCACTGCCCTCGTTTTGATAGATATTCTTCTAATTCTGTCTAAAGGCCTTGTAAATAAATAAAAGAAGGAAGATTAAAGGGGGTAGGGTGAATGAGTGTATGAAGAGCAATTCCAGGTCCAGCATCGTTTCTGGGAGACAATCCCAGGTCCAAGGCCAGCAGCGAGGCCAGTGCCACATACAGAAGACAGACGGCACTGCTAGACCAGTGAGCTGCCTCCTGGCCCTGCGGTCTGCCCCACTGAGCTGCTACTCGGTGTCCGCCTAGAACAGAGGGTGGCACGCATTTCCTGTAAAGGCCAGACAGGAAATATTTCAGGCTCTCGGGGCCATAGCTGTCTGTGGCAACTACTCAGCTCTGCCGCAGTAGAGTGGAAGCAGTCAACGAATGGTATGTAAACACACAAGTGTGGCTGTGTTCCAATAAACCTCCAATTACAGAAGCAGGTAGTGAGCTGGATTTGCCCCAAGAGCCATCTATACTTTGCCGACCCCTGATCTAAAAGGGTTCCGTGAAGACTTTGGGTGTGCTGAGGGACAGTGTCTGTTTCATGGAAATTGATCTGTCTTGACAACCGGAGGGCCTCCAAATTCAGTCCTTGAATTTCTTCTGTTCTTTATATTATAGACTCATGACTTTGAATATCAACTTTATGCTGACAGCTTCCCAAATTTATATTTCCAACTCGGACCTTTCAGCTGAACTCCAAATTCGTCAAACCAACTGTGAGACATGCCAAATGTGCATGTCTCACGGACACCTCAAACTTGACAGGTCCAAAGCTGAACTCCTGACCCCCTGTCTCGACCTGCTCTACTCCTTCTCGCCTTTGGTTGTTCAGCTCAAACAAAACTGTGAACTCCTCCTTGACTCCTCTCTTTCTCTTATTCAATCAATCAGGAAATATCATTGTTTCTTATCTTCAAAATCTATCTAATCTATAGTAGAGACTTGAATCACTTTGAATCATCTCTCGCTTGGGTTATTGAAATAACTTCCTTACTGACCTCCCTGGTTCCAGACTTGCCTCCCTGGAGTCTATTCCCACTACAATAGCAAGAGGGATCATTTAGAAACCTGAGTCAGAGCACATCAATCCTCTGCTCAAAACCCTCCAAAGGCTCCCCAACAAGGCCCTCCATCATCAACTCCCAGCCACTTTTCTGGACTCACCTCCTTTTGCTCTCCTCCTTGCTTAGTCTTCTTCAGCCACAGTGGCCTTCTTATTTATTGAACACCCGGACCCACTCCTACCTCAGTGCCTTTGCACTGGTTTTTCTCTCTGCTGGAATACCCTTCTCTTAAATATACACATGGCCTGCTCCCTTAGTCCCTTAAACATCTTAACTCAAATGTTATCATCCCAACTAGAGGGACCTATTCTGACCACATTACTTAAGACTGCCAGCTCTCCATTTCCCTTATCCTGCTTTATATTTCCATTGTCATTATCCTCTTTTAACATGCTATAATCTTATTTACTATGTTTATTGACTGTGTCTCCCCACTAAAATACAATCATTGCAGGGCGAGAATTGCATCTGTCCTCTTCACTGCTAAATCACCAATACACAGAACAGTACCTGGTACGTGGCAGGCATTTGATAAGCATTTGTCAAGTGCACTGGACACTGAAAACTGTGTAACTGACCAGACCATCCTGCTGGCACTTGCTGAGAGAAGGCCCTGCACAAAGCTTGTGGCCAATATTTAGTGAGGAGGCAGATAGGCAGGGTAGGCGTTAGCCTGATTTCTGGCCCCGTTTTTACTTTTCCTTTCTCACTATACTTCCACTGTACCTTCTGAGATAAGGCGAGGCATACACAAGTACAGTCATAGTGTCAGTTTTACCACTGACATATCAACAGTGTGACAACATGTCCCATTCTGGTTATCAGCTAATGGTAAGAGGGATCATTTCTCTGAGTGGATATTATGTGCCAGGCATATATCCTAAGTGCTTTTCAGGCACTACATCATGGAATCTTCATAACCGTGCAATGATGTGGACACTTTAATCATTTTCTTTTTTAGACCTTAGAAAAACAGGCTTAGAATGGGATATGTAACTTGTCTAAAGAGCCACATGTCCAAGTAGTGGCCTTGGAGTCTGAGCCCAGATTGGTTAGCTCCCTGGGTGTGGATTTTCTACCTTTTGCTACTATGCTTCACTGGTGTTTATCCTTGCATCTCTCCTTCCCCACCCAGTGTAGTGTTAAATGACCTGGTTTTGGACTATTCAAGTTTTTTATATCCATTAACTTGGATTAGTTGTGTGGAGGGACTTATCTACCCTGTAAAGTCATGCTAAGTGGAAAGTACAAATACCTCCTCTCTGAAATAATCGGTCAAGAGCTAAGAAATACAACAGAGCTTCTTCAACCTACTGAATATTCCCCCCAAATATTTGCTCACACAGAGTGTGCATTTTTGTACTCAGGAAACATAAACAGTTTATAATAATGGGACGCGTGCCTCAAAGGCTCTCTGGGGCACTTGGGTTTGCTACCAAGCTGTGTGTGGCAGGCACAGAGGGAGCCAGGCCGTGGGGGGAGCACTATGGCGGTCAAGAGGCTGGTGAGGGTATGGCCAGTAGGGTTCTGTACCAGCAGGCAAGCCCCAGCCAAGTCACTGTCCCAGTCTGCACACTGAGAAGCTGGAAACTTAAAGGTACTTTCCAGTTCTCAATTTCGAATATCCTAACTCCTGAGCTTGGGGGAGATGTGTCTCCGTGTGCTCTCATGACAACCCCCGCCTTTGTTTCCTCTACTCAAGCACAGTCTCTGTTCACCCTCCCACCCAAATTTTACAACCTGGGAGAGTGGGGTGGGGTGGGACAAGTGTCTCTGGTTCTCTGCCCATCCGCAGCACAGGGCCCGGCAGGCAGGAGTCACTCGAGACATATTTGTTAAATGAATGAGTGAGCGAAGGCAGACCATCATGCGTGGGCTGTCCCTTTCTGTTGACGTGAATTTGTCCTGTGAGCCATGTCAGCAGCCTTTAGGCTTTATCCAATCCTGCAGTGAGTTCCTGTCTAGCAGGTCATTCTAACAGACAAAACATCCCCAGATGAGCAGCGGGAGGCTGGCTCCCACCTGCCCATTTCGGAGGCTGGGATAAGGATCAGGCTGGCCCACGGCCCTCTTAAATGCAATAGTTTCTAACAAGCCCTTATTGCAACCATGCAAGGGCCCCAGTGAGCCATGTGCTTTTCAGTCCCGTGGCCAAATGATGACACCAAAGGGACACACATACAGAAGACTTCCTGTATATTTGCATTGCTTCTCCTCACATAATAAATGCAAACGTAAGAGCCTCTTTTTTTTTTTTAAGATTTTATTTATTTATTTGACAGAGAGAGACAGTGAGAGAGGGAACACAAGCAGGGGGAGTGGGAGACGGAGAAGCAGGCTCCCCGCGGAGCAGGGAGCCCGACGTGGGGCTCGATCCCAGGACCTGGAATCATGACCTGAGCTGAAGGCAGATGCTTAACGACTGAGCCACCCAGGCGCCCCATGAGCCTCTTATAATCAAGGGAAAACGCCAGAATGTCATGGGCAGAGCCTCAGGAAATAAAGGTATGAAGCCAAAACAGGAGCAAAGTGTTCACACTTCACATGCAGTTAACATTCTTACTTAGAATAAAGTCACGGTCAAACAATAATTTGGGATCCCTCACCCTTGACTGAAGTGGTTTCTCAAGTCTCCCTTTAGATTTTTTTTTTTTAAGATTTTATTTATTTATTTGAGAGAGAGAATGAGAGACAGCACGAGAGGGAAGAGGGTCAGAGGGAGAAGCAGACCCCCCGCTGAGCAGGGAGCCCGATGCGGAACTCGATCCAGGGACTCCAGGATCATGACCTGAGCCGAAGGCAGTCGCTTAACCAGCTGAGCCACCCAGGCGCCCTTCCTTTAGATTTTAAGAACGGCTGTCAAAAGCATAATGAAGTCTCTGTGTGTTTGCACATCTGCTGAAACAAACCTTAGGGAATCCAACATTTTGGTGCTGTAGGCCCTGTGATGGGATGAGGTGCTGCCATCCCTCTCCGCAAGTAAGAAACCCTATCTCTGAGGAGTCAAGCATTTATCAGAAGGGCTTTCTGTTTGGTATTTCTAGCTGTACCTTCTGGCTGAGGACCAGCCCAAAGGCCCAGCAGTGCCTGCTGCAGAGCTGGCTGGCACTCAATGCAAGTACAAGTCAGGTCTCACCATGATGAAAGCCAAAGACCCCCAGGAAGCATTCCCGCCCTGCCGCCCAGCTCCACCCTCACTCAAGTCTGCACTTCTGCTCCGCAGCCTCTGACTGTGCCTCCCAGGGCCTGAGAGCAAGCATGCATGAGGGAGCTGCAGACCTGTGAACTTTTTAAAACCACATCTTAGTCTTGCACTTCGCAAAGGAGCTCTGCTGGGGTGGACAAAGCATGAGCTGAGGGATCCGTGGGCTGGAGCTCAAGTCCCGGCTCCTCCCCTCTTTCTGGACTATTCCTGCTCCTTGAGTGGGAATAAGACCTACCTACTTCATTCACATGGATGTGAGGAAATGAAACAGCAGGAGGCGCTGCTTTGCAAATTGCCAAGCACTAAAAATGTCAAAGATATGAGAGTAATGGACAGAAAGAGGGGCAGAAAGAAAACGAATCAGAAACAGAGAGAGGTGGGGTTCATATCATAGTGACACTTGTGTTGTAAGTCAGCTTCATAACAAAAGTTCAGAAGAAGCTGTGGCTAGTCTTCTGAGGGGGAATGAGAACACATTTCACACACTTTCCTTACCCCTACCTCTTCTCCTGTTTCCTTCCCTATAAATTATAAGGGTAACAGAACTGACCTAGCTCTTAGAAAAGGACAAGGGAAGATAAATAGGCCAGTTCTAAGAAAAGACGGAGCAAACCAAACAGTCTTCATTGGAAGTTCAGAACATCCTAAAGATGGAGGTACGCAAAATGACAACTGTCGCAAGTGCACCTGCTGCAAGGTCCTATAAACAGGGGCCCTGCTGCTCTCGGACTTGGGCCTATGGGCTGATAGTCATGGGGGCGATGCAAGGTGCTCTGGGGTGAGGCAAAGCTGATGGATGGGGCAGGGGCAAGTGAATCTCTCTCTTCCTCTCCATCTCCCTTCCACTCACCACTTGAACATTCATATTGCCTGAATTACCAGTGGGCTTTGTTCTGGCTGGGCAGAGCATCTTCCACTCAAAGGCACCCACCAAGAAATAGCTTCCCAGAGAAAAAATATTTGTTCCAAGTGTTAGGAAAGGTCCCCCCACTTTTCAGCTACAAATTTTCAGGGGACTCATCAGTAACCAGGCCTCTTCCTGGCTTAGGTCCTGCTGCCAACAGTGCCTGTCCCTGCCTTCCCCTCGGCCGCCCCTGCACCACCTTCCTCGGGGAGCTGCTGAGACTTCATGAACCGAACTGAGGTCTTCCCGAGTGTCTTTTGTTGGCCTTCCGCAAACAGCTCACAACATGGCCCACTGCACTGTGTGTGATCGGCCTTCAGACCAGAAATGATGGGTCAGAGCCTCCGAGGAGACAGAGCTCAGGGGTTACTTACAAAATCGGGCGAGACTGGAAATCTTCCTGGTTCATCCTCTCAGACTGGCGGATTTTCAGGATCTCAGTGTAGCTCAGGTTCTGCAGTTTGCACTTGAACTGGTCCAGGGAGCTAGGCTTGGTTGTAAGAGCTCTCATAACCTGCTCCTTCACCACCTGCATTACCTGTAGATGAAAGGAAGACCGTAACTTTCCTGGGGGGGGTTGTCCTTGCCCATTTGGAAAGATCTTCTAGAATGAACGGCTCCCTGCCTCCCTGCTTCCTACCCCCCTGCTTCCCTTCCCCTGCGCTCTCTGCCCAAACCTTGAGGGTACTTTTCCAAAGAGTAAACTACCATAATGTACATCTTCCACTTTCTCTTGTGCTGCTGGAACCACAAGGAAGGAGATGGATTGACGAAGTTGGAATTGGGTGGCAGGAGGCCTGGCTGGGAGGAGTGCTCCATTTGCTCAACATATTACGGGACCACTGCTGAAGCGACACTGTGCACAGTGCAAACTTCAAAAGTGAAAGGAGTCCAAGCAACAGCTAGGAGGCTGACTCACTGCTATTTCTTCCAGAAGAAGATCGCTGAGACACAATTAACTGTGGATGTCTGGTTGGCACTGGTTCAAACAAACGTGAAATGATACCCACACTCGCCCCTCTGAGAATGCTTTCCCCGTGTAGTGAAGGCCTGAGTGTTCATACACATAAGGGGTCTGAAATTGTGTATGTGCTGTTGCCTTCTTGAGCCAGGCACTAAAAAGAAGGTCTATTTAATAGAACAGACATATGCCATTGGATGCCTCAAGAAAAAAAGAATATGGTAATGTGCTGCCTAAGGACAGGGTCCAGCCCACAAGGAGGCAATTAAGCATTGCCTCTATTAATGTGGATTCGTCTTCATCAGAATTTATAAAGCAGGAAAAGACCAGAAAAGACATAGAGGCATCCAAGAGACGTGTAGTAATCTTCCTGCTTCTTTTTTTTTAATCCTCCACTGCAGAGGAGAACAATTGTTATCACTGATGAGGTATCTACTATGGTGGAAGCTTTATGGATGTTCCCTCTCTTAATCCACTCAAATCTAGGAGTTAGCTGTGGTCATCATTCTATTTACATATGAAGAAACTGAGGCTTTGAAATGTTAAGTAACTAGTTCAAAATCATAGCGCTGGTTGGTAGGTGGATGAGCTGGGATTTAACACTACTCCACTGCCAATCACACCACCATTCTTGGGGTCACTCAGTAATGTTAAAATGAAAGGAAATAGCAAATGCACCTCAATTATATGCTAATTCTGTGCCAGACACATGTTTAGTCATCATCTCATTTAATCTTCCCTCCAATATAGTAGAATAGGTGTTATTACCCCTATTTTAAAGATAAAGAGGCTGAGACTGAAGATTGAGGACTTACCCAAGGCCACATATATCTAGTTGAATTCTATGACACCAAGTAGCCCCACATGATGGATACTGCATGCATCTGATGTTGAAAAGCCCTGGCATGCCGCTTACCCTTTATCATTATGAATATGATCCCACTATACTCCTTATGGCTTCTAATCAGTTGTTCGTCGAATAAATCACACATGGTAGGTACTCAGCAATTGCTCACGGACTAGTCTTACACTGAGATGCCAGGGCTTTTCAACATCAAATGCATGCAATATCCATCATGTGGGGCTACTTGGTGTCATAGAATTCAACTAGATATGTGTGGCCTTGGGTAAGTCCTCAATCTTCAGTCTCAGCCTCTTTATCTTTAAAATAGGGGTAATAACACCTATTCTACTGTATTGGAGGGAAGACTAAATGAGATGATGACTAAACAAATGTTTCTTAAGGAGCTGTCACAGAGATGACAGTCACCAGAACACATAGGATTGGACACAATGATTACACTAGTAGGTGGGCATGTGACCTGAGCTGACCAATCAGTATCCTTTCCCAGACTTCTGACTTGACTTGAAGCAGAGGTGAAGCATGCTCTTTTCCCCTAAAATTGACAACTATAACACTGTCTCTTACATGTGGAAGAGTGGAAGATATTGAGACTGATTCCATTCAACTTAGACAGAAGAAAGATTTGTGTGTGTGTGTGTGCGTGTGAGAGAGAGAGAGAGAGAGAGAGAGAGTTAATAATAGTTAAATTATATTCAACCATAATGTCAATTCAATGCTGACATTTGGTGGTTTTGTTACATGAACCTTTACCTCCCCAATTGAATGGAATTCCTGTCACTTGCAACTTAAGATCTTAACGAATACATACAATGAAGTCAAAGAGGAGTATCAGCTTATGGAGTGGAGTTTGCCCAGATTGGGGAAAAGTAAGAGAAGGAAGCTGGATAGAAACAATGAAGCTACTTCAATAAGAAAAACCTTTAAAAAATCATCTTCATTTATATGCTCATGGCTGTACCTTTGCGTGGAAATCATGATAATCCCTTATGGTGGTATGGGAAATTCTTCAGCTCCTACTTATACCTTATGCTTAAAATCCACTGTTAAGAGTTTCAATTCCTCTAGCTTAAGAATTTTATCTTTTGCTAGATGTAAGAATCCATAAGTGGGACAATCTTTTAAATTCCCAACAATCACTTGTGCTTCCGTTTAAAAGTGAATATAGACCATTTCCTAAGAGTAGGTTGATAGGATAAGAAAGAAGAAGCCAAAGGGGCACTTGGCCCTAGGGAAAGGGATGCAAGTAGTTAGGATACAGCACAGAATGAGGTTGGTGGAGGGAAAGACTGGCTTTGCCTGATTTACTTCACAGTTTTGCTCTGGCCCTGAGAAGTTCTGTGGTAACTCTGTGTGCCAAGGAAAATGACCCCAGGGAAAGATGTCATTGATTTTTTTTACGAAGACAAAATAGTTATATAAATTAAAATATTTCTCTATTTCCTTGCAAAGTAGCTTCCAAAAAGGCTAGAATTAATAGTGTTAAGTGTCTCTGAATGCTCTACGTGCATGATTTAAATCAAGATACTCACAACCACCATGCTTGACTCTGTCTTCTTTGGAAAATATCAAACCTTTTCTCATTGTTTGGAAAACCCACAGATGGTGTTGCGGAGGCATCAGCAAATCAATGGACTTAAAACTTCTTAATTAGGGCGCCTGGGTGGCTCAGTTGGTTAAGCGACTGCCTTCGGCTCAGGTCATGATCCTGGAGTCCCGGGATCGAGTCCCGCATCAGGCTCCCTGCTCGGTGGGGAGCCTGCTTCTCCCTCTGACCCTCCCCCCTCTCATGTGCTCTCTGTCTCTCTCATTCTCTCTGTCTCAAATAAATAAATAAAATCTTAAAAAAAAAACAAAACTTCTTAATTACAAAATATGAATACGCTTTGTCATAGACATCAGACAAACACGCTTTCAGAATCCGCATTCACCTACTGGTATTGACTGATTATTTTGTCAAGGTCAAACTGTGCCTGTGGTGTGTTTCTGGAATTTTTCCAGCACATGTTCTCTGTAATAATGTCACATGTTACAAAAGAAGAAGTGGGAGTCCTATAACACACATGTACTTCAAATGGAGAAAACCTTTCAGCTCCTCGGAAGATTGGGTTAAAAGAGTAAGTTCTGGGGACCCCTAACAAGAATCAAGTATGCTGGTAGTCTAACTGGGCTCCTGGTTTCCCTGTTGTTCATTGAGATATGCTCCTGTGTTTTATTCCAAGATCTCCTGAGCCTCCATGTGCTCCCTAGTCTAATCACCAATTTGACCCCCACCTTCACACCCACAATCTTCATCCGGCATTATTCATCTGTTCTCAACAACTGTTTTTCAAGCACCTACAATGTGCAAGTCACCGTAAGCGAGATATCTGAAGCCTTGTGTCCTGGTCTGGGGAAGTGGATAAGCCATTACATACTTGCCTCCTCCAAGGGATGAAGTGATGTCACAGTGGAGCAAGGGCGAGACAGTCATTCCCCAAATATTTAGCCCCTCTCAAATGCTGACAGGCTGATTGCACAGCACCAGGACTTTGGCTGGGGCTTGAGGAGAGACCAGATGTGGACACGATGAGTGGCAGAGAAGGAGCCATTCTTGGAAGAAACAGCATGAGCCAAGGCTTGGAGAGAGGAGAGCCCAGCCCTGGGTGGGGAGGAATGTATGGTGGTTTCATTCCATTGGAAAAAATCGAGGTGGGGCTTCGAGTTAGGCTGAAAGTCAGGCTGGGCCAGACAGTGGGTGGTTTTGCTGGCCAAGATGAACAATTTAAATTTGGATTTTTTTTTTCTGTAATTAGTGGTAAGTCACCAGGGGATTTGGGGTGTGTGTGATGGAATTCAATAGTGTAAACTATGTTGGGACACATACAAAAATTGGAGAGGGGCCTGGGGAAAGGAAGACATTACAAAGGAGTCATGATCCCTGATCAACTGGGGTAAGGGGGGATGTCAGGGAAGTGTGCAAGGCTGAGACTAACCTGCCTGGGACTGGAAGGACGGGTGGGAGGGTGAAGAGGGAAAGGGAGCTCAGGCAGAGGGATCAGCAAGAGCAAAGCCTGGAGGGAGGGAGTGCATGACTTAGGCATTAGACAAATCATGCTTTTGGAGTCCACGTTAGCAGCTTTCAGCAAGTGGGTGCTATTCGTGGCAGGATGGCTTCTCAGCCTTTATAAAGGGCCCACCACACACAACTGTAAAGCCAGGCTGTGACCGTCCTCAAGATATTCAACCCCTCTGAGCCTCAGTTTAAGCTTCTGTAAACTGGAAGGACTAATCATTTAGACTTCATCGAGGTGTTGCTCATTAGAGAAAGCCTCATATCCTTTATGGTACCCTGTGGATATTTAGCAAACATGAATTTCCCTTCCCAAGCCTTAGTTTGCTCACTATAAAGTGGAAGTAATAGCTCAGAGTTCATAGAGTTGCTGTGAAATCCAAACTGGATTACTTGCAAAGTACTGACACACTGAATGGAACACACTAGACACACAACCAATGTGATGTAATGTTCCCATACCTTCTGAGAATGAAATGACTTATGTCAGAGGGTTCTCCTATAAAAAATATCCTCAGCAGTGTTCCCAGACTACATCTGTATCACCTGGGAACTTGCTAGAGATGCAACTTCTCGGGCTCACCCCAGACCTATTGAATCAGAAACCCTACAATCAGTGTTTCAACAGCCCCTCCAGGTGATTCCAGCACTCACGAAAATGTG